CAGACTTGATTCTGGAACAGGGAACCCCAGGGTTGTCAATTCTTCACAATTTTCATTAACGTTTGAAAGCTGGGGGAGTGTATGCTGCAACGGCCCTCATGTGACCTTCGTGCGGCTCGACTTTGTGAAACCGACGGGCGTTGAATGACACCGGTTGGTCGTGCATGTCGATCCACGAGCCTCCGCTTTTTCTCCATCCCTTCCCCTTCCGCAATGTGCTGAGGATGGGAATGTTGTGGGGCGACACAGAAGGGCTACAAAGAAAACAACGTCAGGGGCCTGAAATAGCTCGTTGGTCCATTTGTTTCATGTCTGCCACGGAGAGCCCCGCGTCAAGAACTAGTGTTTAAGCCGTCCGGCTAGGCCAGTTGCGAAGCCGTGTTTTCTGAAAGGCTCAGATACCCTTCTACCAATTAGCCCTTCGAAATCAAAGCAACATACATGCTCTAAGTATTCAGGATGGTCTAGGTGGGATCCATTTCAAGAGTTCTCCTCAGGAGCAGCTGAAACGACTGGCAAAGCTGCAAGCCAAACACCTCCTCAGCTTCACCATCGCCTTGACCATCCGGCCTGCAACTGCACAATGTAAGCAACGTCTTGAAGCGCAAGAACACACTTTAAAGTAAGTACTCAGCAGCACCTTCGCGGGACTCTTTTTCCGTTGGCTTTCGTGGTCAGTCGGGCATAGGTTTCAGAGCTTCCACCAGTTCTGTCCATTTGCTGACAGCTTGCTTGAGCAAATCTGCTTGTTGCCAGATCCCAAGCTTCTTGCACAAATCCTTGACGTGACTCTCTTCAAAGGTCACCAGTGCGTGAGCCTTTGCGAGCTCGTCTTTAGATGTTATCGAGTCAAGCTGTGGCTTGCTCCGCCAGGCGCTCAGCCTTCGCGTGAGTCCTTCTCTAAGCTTGGTCTCCTCGCTCGGAAGCTCGTTGAGTCTTTGTTCGAGGTTCTCTTTGGAAAGTGGGTTTTTTGGATCGCTGAGACTTAGAACTGTCTCTTCGCTTGTGATGCGGTTGATGTTACCGGCCATTGGCTTTCTTGAAAAGTCAAAGAATTACCACCCAGTACAGTTTGATCCTTTTTGGAGGGTTGCTCATGTTGGCTAGGGCGTCATTCATCTTGTCCGACTTGAACGTGTGGCTGTTGCCTGTTGTTATCTGAAAGGCATGCAAGGTCCCATTCTTATCGAGAAAGCCTGCGTCGATGACTGCCGTTTCCTTTTTGGCTGTGCAGTAAGTGTTCGGTTGGTTCGCAGCTGTATTGAGGAGCTCGAGTAGCCCTCCGTTGACCCTTTAAACATGTGTGAGTGAGAGAGAGAGAGAGGGAGAGAGAGAGAGAGAGAGAGAGAGAGAGAGAGAGAGAGAGAGAGAGAGAGAGAGAGAGAGAGAGAGAGAGAGAGAGAGAGAGGGGGAGAGAGAGAGAGAGAGACACACGCACATATATATATATATGTATATATATATATATATATAGATATATACATATATATATATAGATATATATATATATATAGATAGATATATATATATATATATAGATATAGATATCGTCAAGACCAGAGCTCTCGCACGCAACACTTCTTTTGCTCGAAAAAGTCCGGAAGCATCTTCTTGAGCGGATCGCCGGGCTTCTCGAAGAACAGCCGCAGTGGACCGGTCCGCTCCAACATTAGCTCAGCGAGCCCCGTTTCGCTGAAGTAAATGCTGGGAATCTCGAGATTGGGGGTATCAAGACGGACCTCGGTGGTGTAGAAGACGGGCAGGGCTCCAAGAACGTCCGGGTGGTTTTGGAAGACAGCCAGCGCATCCTCTGCTTTCTTTGTAACGCTGGGCCAGCTTGGGACATATTCGCTGACACATTTCGTCTGGATGCCAAGAACGAGGAGAGAAGCTGCCTCTGTCTTATTGCACTCCGACTTCAAGTCACGAATTTTCCTTCGGTCGTCGGGATCCGGGACCATCCACGGGATCAGGTACTCGATGCCCGGCTCGTTGCGCAGCTTGGACACGACGATCTTACCGCTTTTGAGGGACTGCAGGACTTCCTCTACACATACGAAAGACTTGACATACTCCAACGGTGCAAGAGCATTCTGCATGGAGGTGACGACGACGTTCTGCAAACCACTTGTTGTTGGTCGAAAGCTCGCCCCATGGAACAGCTGTTCGAGTGTGCATTTGCTCTTGCCCAACGCCAGGCGCACAGCACAGTCGAAGTGGACCATGATGTCCTCAAACTTCTTCTCGTTTGTGTCCTCCATGACCGCATCCTGCTCGAACATCTCGATGATCTGGCCTGCGAGACTGGTTCCGTCACTCCGTGCCCAAAGTTGCAGCATTACGGGATGAAGGATGTTGATGAAGCTGTTGCCACATCGCACGGAATGAACAATACCACGCAGACGGAGGTCTTCAAGCACTGATCGAGTTGTGGAAGCGAGAGGAGACCACCAGTGAATCACCTCGACGCTGTCCAAGACTTTTCGGTCTCCGAGCTTGGCATGAGTTACAATGGCAAGCCGAAGTTGATTCCATGCAAGTGGATTCCGAGGAGGCTTCTTGAGCTTGGAGTACTCCTTTCTCAAAGCATCGAACATCAGCCGCGGATGACCCAGCAGCTGTCGCACGACTAACCTGAAAGTCGAGCCTCAAACAAAAACTGGAGAGCGAGCGCAAAGCGAGCGCAAAACAGGCTGACCCCCCCACCTCGAGCCTAGGACTGACACCCCGTTCTGAAGCATCGGCAAAACACGAAGGGCAACCAGATTTGCATGAACCTAAAGCAGCCAAGAGCCCCTCCCGCTCCCCGAAGTGCTGCAAGCCAACACAGTGAAGCTTAACGACGAGATCTTTGCTAAGAGAAGAGCCCCAAAAAGCAAACGGTGACCATGCGGGAGTGCTGCAAACCAAAGGCAACAACTGCACACGCAGAATCGCAGAAGCCCCCCGGCCTGCCCTCGTCCTGCCTGGACCTTTGCTTGGGCCTCCTCGTACTTCTGCTGGGCAGTCTCTAGTTTTGTTTCGGCTTCGTTGAGCTTTTGCTCGGCCTCCCGGAGATCCTGCTTGATCTCATCGGCCTTTTTGTTGTTGTCGGGTCGAGATGCTTGTAGCCACCGCCCCCGCAGCTCCGCAACCACATCGCCAAGTTGTGTCACCTCGTTGTCTGCCCTGACAACCGCTTTTTCTGCCCTGTCTCGTGCTCGTCGGGCGGCGGCCAAATCCTGCCAGGTGCAGGGCTGCTTTCCCGTGATTTTTTCGGGTGTGTTTGCCGAACACGTTTGTTGTCGGGATTTGGCCGGAGCCTCGTTCTCCAGAGCTGTCTTCTGCAGCTGCTCGTCCTGCACCAGCAGGGGCAAAGGCCACAGTCTGCCATGGGATCTTCAAACAGCAGAAGCGCAAACCAACAGCACGCTCGGAGGCCTTGGGGGCATCTTCGACCGAGTCGGCGGTCTGCACAGAGGCAGCCGGCTCCTCGACATCCCGCCGAGCAGCTTTCGATGCAAAATCCAAAACACACGGAATGGACAAACAAACCTGGCCTTATCTTCGTCGTCCTCACTTTCCGAAGGCTCCGAAGCCTGCGCTGTCCAGGAAATGACACTCACTCCGCACCACAATCTGCAATTGCGAACTTCAAAGAGCCCGCTCAGACTCAGCCCGCAATGGCCCACAACAAGCAAGACAAGCAAGCAACAACACCCTCGGAGGCACAGCCTGCTTGGCATCTTCAACCGGGTCAGCAGTCTGTGCTGAGGCAGCCTGCATAAGCAACCCCTCAAGCTCATCGAAATGCGTCTGAAGCTCCCTGGCCCACCACACCGAAAGGACAAAAACCACCAAAGCAAGAGACATCGCAAAGCGCCTCGTCCACTGCCTTTTTTCGCGAAACCTGCAGCAAGGGGCACATTCTCAACAATGCTAATTTCAGCGAGCCTTCACCCGCCTGATCGAAGCTTGCTAGAACTGTGAAGCCCTCACCAGCAAGAACGCCTCGGTCGTCGCCTCTTCCACCTCATCCTGATCCTTTTCTGAGGCCTCCGAGCATGGACTGATCCCGAGAAGACCTACATGCGCTGCTGGCAGGACCGTTTCATGCAAGCATGAGCTCCTCGAAATTCGTCTGATGCTCCCGCCGCCGAAAGGACAAGCAAACCTTGCCTGATCTTCGTCTTCACGAGGTTGCAGAGGCCCCTGGTCAGAAAATGACACACTCGGGCAGGAGCGAAGGAAACGCCATCAGAACAGAACAAGGAACGCCACGCCGAAACGACAAACCCTTTTCGCCTTGACGTCTTCATGGTCTTCGGCCTCACCACGGCCAGCCTCAGCTCTTCAGGACATACGCTTAACACTGAATTTCCTGTCGGTCTCGGCTTCCCGCCTTGGCCCTGCGTGCGACCAGCAAGTTCTGTGCCCATATTCCCGGAGGAACCGACCTCGCGCTGGCTTGCGGATCTTCGGCGCTCCATGCCATACATCACATCCCACCTTGGGAACGGCACGGCCCCCGCTCCAAGCAAAGGCCACGCCGTCTGCGTTGCTCGCCTGAGGCTGCTCGGGAAACCCTCTAACACTGTTCAAAGCACTGGTCTTAGGCTCTGGCAGAGACACCCAGAACAGTGCCAGTAGCACCACAGCGCGCCCGACCTTGCGCGATGTTGCTGGAGGCCTGCTCATGGCGGCAGTCGTCCTAGCTGTCCTCTGGCTCGAGCAAAAGCACTGCAATCTGCATGAACGAATGGTCGAGCTCAGTCACGGGCCAAGTGTTTAGTTAACCAACTGCAATTCAACATGCGGCGGTCTGCGCAGAGGCAGCCTGCTCCTCGACATCCCGCCGAGCAGCTTTCGATGCAAAATCCAAAACACACGGAATGGACAAACAAACCTGGCCTTATCTTCGTCCTCACTTTCCGAAGGCTCCGAAGCCTGCGCTGTCCAGGAAGTGACACTCACTCCGCACCACAATCTGCAATTGCGAACTTCAAAGAGCCCGCTCAGACTCAGCCCGCAACAAGAAAGGCAAGCAACAACACCCTCGGAGGCACAGCCTGCTTGGCATCTTCAACCGGGTCAGCAGTCTGTGCTGAGGCAGCCTGCATAAGCAACCCCTCAAGCTCATCGAAATGCGTCTGAAGCTCCCTGGCCCACCACACCGAAAGGACAAAAACCACCAAAGCAAGAGACATCGCAAAGCGCCTCGTCCACTGCCTTTTTTCGCGAAACCTGCAGCAAGGGGCACATTCTCAACAATGCTAATTTCAGCGAGCCTTCACCCGCCTGATCGAAGCTTGCTAGAACTGTGAAGCCCTCACCAGCAAGAACGCCTCGGTCGTCGCCTCTTCCACCTCATCCTGATCCTTTTCTGAGGCCTCCGAGCATGGACTGATCCCGAGAAGACCTACATGCGCTGCTGGCAGGACCGTTTCATGCAAGCATGAGCTCCTCGAAATTCGTCTGATGCTCCCGCCGAAAGGACAAGCAAACCTGCCTTATCTTCGTCTTCACGAGGTTGCAGAGGCCCCTGCTCAGAAAATGACACACTCGGGCAGGAGCGAAGGAAACGCCGTCAGAACAGACAAGAACGCCACGCCGAAACGACAAACCCTTTTCGCCTTGACGTCTTCATGTCTTGGGCCTCACCACGGCCAGCCTCAGCTCTTCAGGACATACGCTTAACACTGAATTTCCTCTGGGTCTCGGCTTCCCACCTTGCCCTGCGTGCGACCAGCAAGTTCTGTGCCCATATTCCCGGAGGAACCGACCTCGCGCTGGCTTGCGGATCTTCGGCGCTCCATGCCATACATCACATCCCACCTTGGGAACGGCACGGCCCCCGCTCCAAGCAAAGCCCACGCCGTCTGCGTTGCTCGCCTGAGGCTGCTCGGGAAACCCTCTAACACTGTTCAAAGCACTGGTCTTAGGCTCTGGCAGAGACACCCAGAACAGTGCCAGTAGCACCACAGCGCGCCCGACCTTGCGGGATGTTGCTGGAGGCCTGCTCATGGCGGCAGTCGTCCTAGCTGTCCTCTGGCTCGAGCAAAAGCACTGCAATCTGCATGAACGAATGGTCGAGCTCAGTCACTGGCCAAGTGTTTAGTTAACCAACTGCAATTCAACATGCGAAGCACTTGCAAGTGTGCACAGGCAACTGCTGCAAGATGCCTCGGTCGGGGTTCTCAGCAGGGATCGGGCCTTGCGTCGGCACACTCCCCAAAGCCCATGAAATGTGAAATCTTGCCACCCCCAAAGGCCCGGGCCCCAGTCTCAGGGTGGGAGGGGGATGGTGGGGGTGGGAGGGCCTGGTGGGCAGTGAAGGGCCGGTGATCTTTCGAGCGCCCCTGGCTGGTGCCCCGTGATGCGTGGCCCCATCGTGGCCCTGGGACCCCACCTCTGTGCGGCCTCGCGTGTCGCGGTCACCCCGGACCGCGTGACCCCGTGACCTCTCTGTGGCCCCACGTGTCACCGTGACCGTAACCCTGTGATGCCGTGACCCTCGTGCCGGGTGGCCCCCGTGACCCACGTGAGCCGCGTGACCAGTCACCCCCCTTATTCCGTGACTCCCGTGACCTCGTGACCTTGTGACCCCGTGACGCCCATGACCCCGTGACCCCTGTGACCCACGTGAGCCCGTGACACCCGTCCCCATAACCCCCATCACCCCGTGACCCCCCCGTGCCCCCCCGTAACCTTGTGACGCCGTGACCGGTGTGACCCATAACCCCCGTGACCCATAACCCCCCCGTGCCCCCGTAACCCCGTAACCCGTGACCCCCTGTGCCCCCCGTAACCCCGTAACCCCGTGACCCCCGTGCCCCCCGTAACCCCCCTGACCCCGTGAACCCGTGCCACCCTGTAACCCCGTGACTCCGTGACCCCCCATGCCCCCCCGTAACCCCGTAACCCCGTGACCCCCCGTAACCCCGTAACCCCGTGACCCCCCATAACCCCCCCGTGCCGCCCGTAACCCCGTAACCCCGTCAATTCTGTGCCCCCCGTAACCCCCGTAACCCCGTGACCCCCCCCGATGCACCGGTGCTCAAAATCCCGGCTCGAAAGGGTCACGGGGTTACGGGGTTACAGGGTTACGGGGGGCACGGGTTCACGGGGTTACGCTTCCACATCCCGGCTCGAAAGGGTCACGGGGTTACGGGGTTACGCTTCCCCATCCCGGCTCGAAAGGGTCACGAGGTTACGGGGTTACGCTTCCACATCCCGGCTCGGAAAGGGTCACGGGGTTACGGGGTTACGCTTCCCCATCCCGGCTCGAAAGGGTCACGAGGTTACGGGGTGACGCTTCCCCATCCCGGCTCGAAAGGGTCATGGGGTTACGGGGTTACGCTTCGCCATCTCGAAAGGGTCACGAGGTTACGGGGTGACGCTTCCCCATCCCGGCTCGAAAGGGTCGGGGTTAGGGGTTACGCTTCCCATCCCGGCTCGAAAGGGTCACGGGGTTGCGGGGTTACGCTTCCCATCCCGGCTCGAAGGGGTCACGGGGTTGCGGGGTTACGCTTCCCCATCTCGAAAGGGTCACGAGGTTACGGGGTGACGCTTCCCATCCCGGCTCGAAAGGGTCACGGGGTTACGGGGTTACGCTTCCCCATCCCGGCTCGAAGGTTACGCTTCCCAGTCCACCCAGAGAAACAGCACAGCCACTCCCGAGGTGCGCAGGACAATCAGCCGAAACACACCCTAAACCCTGCCTGCCGATGTGCTCGAAGATGTTGAAGAGGATGGCAAAGAGCACCTGGGCCGCGAGAGGGGGCCCGGGGTTCCCGGAGAGGCAGGGGAGACGCAGGGCACTGTAGAGCTACAGGGGAAGGGGAGGAAGGGCAGCACAGGGCACTCCTGGGCGCACACTGACCAGACCTCGCTGCCTCGGAGCCCCTTGCCTACCAACTTAAACCCTAAACCTTGAACCTCTGCGGCGTCAGGCTCGGGAAAGCGGGGCGTGACTTGTGACTTCTGGGTGTCGGGCTCGGGAAACACTGGCGTGACTTTTGGGCGTCGGCCTCGAGAAAGCAGGGCGTGACTTGTGACTTTTGGGCGTCGGCCTCGGGAAAGCGGGGCGTGACTTGTGACTTCTGGGTGTCGGGCTCGGGAAACACGGGCGTGACTTGTGACTTTTGGGCCTCGGCGGGACAAAGAAGGGCGTGACCTCTGGGCTGCGGCGTAAAAGCTCTTCAACTCCACTTGCCTCCGAAACCCGCTAAAACAAGGCACGCCTCAATTCCAGGCAAGTCGCCACCCGAGCCCCCGAACCCCAAAAGTCACGCCCCTCCCCCCCGGCCCAAAACCCAAAAAGTCACGCCTCAATTTCCGGCCCAGGCCCCCAAAAGTCACAAGTCACGGCCCCTTCTCCCGGCCCAAACCCCCAAAGGTCACAAGTCACGCCCCTCCCCCCCGGCCCAAACCCCAAAAAGTCACGCCTCAATTCCCGGCCCAGGCCTCCCGGCCCAGGCCCCCCAAAAAGTCACAAGTCACGCCCCTCCCCTCAAGCCCCAAAACCCAACAGTCACGCCCTCCCGCTTCCCCGACCCCGAACCCCAAAAAAACCACCCCTTCGGTCCAAAATCCAAAACTGCGGCCCCGTCTACCATGAAGGTGTCGAAGAAGCAGGCGACACCACGGCGAGGACCTGAAAGCAAGAAAAGGGCCCGGGGTTCCCGGAAGAGGTGGGGGAGACGCAGGGCACTGTAGAGCTACAACGGGAGGGCAGGGCACTCCTGGGCGCACACTGACCAGACCTCGCTGCCTCGGAGCCCACAAGCCTGCAACCCGAAACTCTACCGACCCTGAAGCCTCTGCGGATCACAGGAGGGGCCCGGGGTTCCCGGGAGGAGGAAGGCGCAGGGCACTCAGACGACCTCACCTGCCAACCCTAAACCCTGAAGCCTTGCAGCACAGCGACGCACAACACTTCCAGACCTCGCTGCCTCAGAACCCCCAACCACCTTCCCAAACAACCCCTGAACCTCTGTAGCGCCCGGCGTTCGGTCCTGTGTCAGGACCCTGTGCGCTGTCTTCCTTAGACGTGTTGCTGGCAATGCCTGCTGCTGTTGCGATCACGCCATAGGTGCTAGTTGGCATATGATTAGGACTAGGACGGTACAGCTGTACTGCGGCGACGAAATCCTAGAGTCCGCCTTCGAACAGCGGCCGGACAAGCTTTGCGTCCCTCGGCAGCTCGCGGAGTTGATGCGGCTGCCGCTGCAGGAGGTGCTTTCGGACTTCGACGCCATCTGCACAAAAAAACGTGGCGGGAGCAGGGCATCACCCCCCGAGAGATCCGGGAATTCTGCCTTTGGCGCCAGGCCCCGATGTTCTACGTGGACTGCCAGGGCCGCCTGCTGGACAAGTACGAGCCTACCGTCAAGGAGCAGCGGGCCGTGGCCTTCACGAGCTGGAACGGCCACGCCTTCTTCTACAAGTCCGCCCGCACCGTCGCGAAGTGCGAGCCGACTGGGGAGCGGGCCAGGTACCGGGGCGACAGGAAGCCGAGCGAAGCATCGGGAACTTGGCGTTGGCCAGGGCGTTCTTGCGGCACCGAACCACGTCGACCCCGTGGCAGATCCGGTCCGGTTTGTGGCTGTTGAGGTGGAAGACCAGCGGGGGGAGCCGGGGCGACTCCACGTAGGCCTTGTAGGCCCGCCGGCTGAAGCGGGATTCGAGCGTCGTGGGGTGGGAGAACTCCAGGGCTGTTTTGTTCCGGTGACACTCGAGGCACAGGGCCTGGAGGGTTTGGGCCTGAGCGGAATAGGACTGGTGCACGGGGACGACGTGGTCCAGCTCGCAGGTCGTCCTGTCGATGGGGGCCGCGCAGAGCTTGCACAGGTGGTCCTGCTCGGCGAGGACGGCCTCCCGCGATCCGGGCGGATCCCGCCGCGCCTTGAGGAGGTGGAGGAAGACCTCGCTCGCCGCGCCCGCGAGGCGCTGGCCCCGGTAGGGGAGCCTCAGCCGCCCCATCCAGGCCTCCAGCACCTCCGCGTCCTCGTCGAGATTGGAGATCACGCAGTCCCCGCCGCCGCGGACGCGGAGGCGCAGGCAGCGCCACTCCGAGAGGCTGCGCATGACCACCTTCGGGCAGTGGCCCTCGGCCAGCAGCTCGCCCCGGACCCGCGCCAGGTCCTCGGAGTAGAAGTGGCCGCTCGCGACCTCGCCCTCCCACTCCCGCCACTCCTTGAACTCGGGGCTGCCCCAAGGACAACGTCGAGCCGGCCCGCAAGGGCCACCTGGCGGACCTCACCTACGTGGAGCTGAAGCAGGACAGGCGGTGCGCGGTCCTCCCGCGGCTCCCGTACGTGGGCCGTGGGTGGTACGCCAAGCCGGCGGCGGCCTACATGCTGGAAAGGGGCATCGCGACCTGGGCCGACTTCGCCTGGAGCCTGGACGACACGGCGCACGTGGACCAGGAGTCCGTGGCCCAGGCCCTGCAGCAAATGGAGGAGGCGTGGCCCGAGGGCGAGGAGCACTACGCCAAGCTGTCGGTCAACGCCCTCATCGGCCTCTGGGCGCGCAACATGGACCTGATCCACACGATGCGCACCAGCAACCACGAGTACGACGGCTCCGGGTGCCAGTACCGGGAGCTCTTCGTGGACACCGCCGGGGGGATGCACCGGGACCACATCTACGTCACGCAGCTGCTGTCCAACAAGAGCTGCCGGCCGATTCACGACTTCGTCATGTCCTCGGAGTACGTCGCGGTCGCCCGGATCCGGGACGCCCTGGCGACGGTGCCGCCCAAGTACCTCAAGGCCATCAAAACCGACTGCGTGGTCTTCCAGCACCTGCCCAAGAAATACCAGCCCTTGTTGGACGGCCTCGTCCGCAAGAAGCACCCCGACGGCACGCCCGTGTACCGGTGCGAGGAGGTCAAGGCCCTCGAGGGCCAGTACCGGAACCCGTGCATCGAAGCGGAGCCCGTGAGCAGCCCGTCCGACTGGAAGCTCGCGGAGGACCCGGTGCTCCACTGCCTCGAGGGCGAGAGCCTGCTGCTGACCGGCTACCCCGGCACCGGCAAGACTCACCTGGCCCGCCAGATCGTGACCCGCCTCCGGGAGGAGGGGTTCCGGGTCAAGATCATCACGAAGACCCACTCCTCCGTGCAGAACTTCGGCATGCAGGCGGAGACGGCCGACCACTGGGTGCGGAGCAGCATCCGGAACGGGTACTGCAACGTGGACTGGCTCGTCGTGGAGGAGATCACGATGCTCGACACCGGGCTCTGGAGCGACATCGCCTGCCTCTCCATGAACCGCCAGGTCAACTTCCTGCTGCTCGGCGACTTCCGACAGTTCCCGGCGGTGATGGACAACTTCGCCGGCGCTCAGGTCATCCGAGAGCTGAAAACCTGCCAGCTGCTCCACGACCTCACCCGCGGCTGGCACCACCAGCTCACGGAAAACAGAAGGAGCGACCCCGGCATCTTCGACTTCCTCCCATAACTCCGGGTCGAGGAGGCCCAGGAGCAGCCCCTACCCGAGGCCCTCCGGGTAGCCCAGGAGAGGTTCCCGAAAAGGGGCGAGCCGGATGTCAGCCTCCCACGCCCACCGCATCAGGATCAACGCCCGGGACAACCGTCGCCTGGCCCTGCCGGAAGCTGTGACAATTGAGTACACCGGCACTGGCCCGACGACCACCAACATGCCGCAGACCATGCGGGTCTGGCCCGGCCTGAAGCTCATCGGGGCCGGCGGCCGCGTCACCAAGGGCATCTACGTGCATGTGGCCGAAGTGGGCCCCGAGAAGATCGTCTTGGACGGCGGCGACTCCTTCACCCACGCCGCCCTCCTGAAACACACAGGCCTGACGCTCGAAGGGCGGGTCTTCCTGTGCGACACCGAGAGCCCGCACTTCACCCTCAAGCACCTCTATGTGGGGAGCAGCAGGGCCACCAGCAGCGGCTTGTTGAGCGTGCTCTAGAAGAAGGGGCACCGGAGGGCCGGGGCCTCAGCCTCCCTGAGCTGCAGGTCCGTCACTTCGAGCAGGAGCCCGCACTGACCCGACATTAGCCAGACCTGGCGCAAATCTGCGCGCACCTTGCACGCCCGATTGGCCAGGTCGCCGGGGTCCTCCAGCGGCTGCTGGTCGGCGTCCCAGAAGTGGACTCGGGACAAATCGACCTTGAGCTTGATGAAGCTGTTCCCGCGGGAGGAGGTCTTGAGGCAGGACACGAAGCGACCCTCCACGTCCGACGCGGTGAGGTAGCGGCCGAAGATTTTAGAGTCGTGGAGGCATCGCTGGGTCAGCTGGCCCTTGATGTCCTTCTCGATCGCCTCCAGGTCTGCCTTGGCGGCCTCGTTCTGCTCGAGACACAGGGGGAGTCGCCGGGCTTCCGTTTGGCTGCCGTAGGGGCTGGGGTGCCACAAGATGCGCAGCCACTCGCGGGACCGCCAGGCCTCCGCGCACACCGGGAAGAACTTGCCGCCACGCTGATTGGTCGTAAGCTCACCGAGCTTGAGTACCGTTTTGGGCTCCATCGCTCCCTTTTTTTCCCGACAAGAAAAAAAATGCCGGCCACCGTCTCCACCGTGGAGTGCGTGGGGGTGGCCCTGCTCCTGCTGGTGCTGTGGGCATTTTCTTACCCTTCATCAAATGAGACTCCTGGAGCTGTTCAGCGGCACAGGGTCGGTCGGCCGTGCCTTCGAGGCCCGTGGCTGGCAGGTAACGAGTCTTGACAGCAACCCGAAGGCCCGCCCGACCATCTGCTGCGACATCCTGCAGTGGGACTACAAGGCCCTCGAGCCCGGGCACTTCGACATGGTCTGGGCCTCGCCCTGCTGCACCGAGTTCAGCATCGCCCTCAAGAAGCGCCCCCGCAACCTGCCGGTCGGGGACGCCCTGGTGCTCAAGACGCTGAAGCCCAAGTGGTGGGCCATCGAGAACCCCAGCACCGGGCGCCTCAAAACCCGCCCCTACATGCAGGGGCTGCACATGGACCGGGTCACGTACTGCAAGTACGGCTTCCGCTACAAGAAGCCCACGGCCGTGGCACAAGCTGCCCTGGACCCCCTCCCAGGGCCCCTGCCGCAAGGGCGATCGCTGCGAGGCCTTCCAAGGAACTCGTCACCCAGAGGCCGCGCAGCGAGGGCCCACCAAGGGGCGGCAGGGGAGCAACTCGCGGGACCAGCTCTACTCCATCCCGCCTGCGCTGTGCGACGAGATCGCCGCGAGCGCAACGCTAGGGGTAAATGGGGAAGGTGCGTCTCTTCAAGACGCCTGAGTACTCCGTCAAGCAGCCGCCGGACCCCGTGGTCTGCAAGCCCCCCGCCAACGGGATCCTGTGCGCCCCGTCGGCTTCCGGGAAGACGGTGCTCCTGGTGAGCATGATTTTGGAGCAATACAGGGGCTGCTTCGAGCGCATCTACATCTTCTCGCCCTCGGTGGAGGTCGATTCCGCCTGGCAGCCTGTCAAGGATTACATCCGGGACGAGCTGGGGGTCAACACCGACCGGGAGCAGTGCTGGTGGGAGGACTGGGACGAGGGGGCGCTGCGGAAGATCATTGCAGACCAGAAGCGCATCACCCAGAAGAGCAAGGAGCTGGGCCTCAAAAAGCTCTACCAAGTATTGATAGTTTTGGACGATCATGCCGACAATCCAGCCGTGCACCGCAAGACGGGCGACGGGGTCCTGGACACACTGTTCATCAGGGGTAGACATTTCTGCATAAACACCTGGGTGTCCACCCAGAAATTGCGGCTCATGAGCTCGGCCGTGCGGGTCAATGTGATGTTCTATTGCGTCTTCCGGCTGCGAAATCAGCTCGAGTTGGATGCTTTGGTGGAGGAACTCTCGGCCATGCTGCCGAAGGAAACCCTGTACTCGATGTACGAAGAGGCCACGAGAGAGCCCTACAGTTTCTGGTTCGTCAATCTGCGAGCTCCCAAGGAAGACATGTTTTGGGTGCAATTCGACCGTAAGTTTTTGCTGAATGGGGACGATCCTCAGCCAGATAGTGGGCAAGCTGCTGGGGGGAGGGCCCATGTGCGAGAGCGAGTGCAGCAACATTAGGTGCTGCAGCAGCACGCAGACCATCTACGACCCGAGCCGGTGGCCCCCACCGGACAGGTCCCGGCAGGTCTCCGACGAGTCCACCGCCAGCGACTTCTCCGCCCGCCCCGCACGGTTTTTCAGGCGCAAAAGAAAGCTCATGACCTCCATCTACGTGGACTCGCGCCTGCGCACGCAGGGCACAGACAGCAGCTTCTCGTTCGACATCGGCGAGTCGGTGCACATCCAGAGCGGGGCCAAGCTGGCCGTCTACAAGGTGCGCATCGCCGACGCTTTTCTGAGCACCGACCGCGGGACGAGGTGGCCGGCACCCTGCACTACGCCGAGCTGCCTGTCGGCGCATACACGGGGCCGAGGCTTGCGGCTGGATCAGCTCCAACTTCGCCGCGGCCACGCACACAGCCGAAACAAATGAGCTGGACGTCACCTACGACGGCGTGCGCCTGATCCTGAACGACGCCGAGCTCCGGCAGCGCTTCCCGGGCACGGGCTCCTACCCGCCGGGCGCCTCGCCCAGCAAGCCCCTGAGCATCAATCATCTTTTGGAGCTACCTCACGGGCTCCGTGCAGCGCTTCGTCTTCGTCACGATGAATCCGTTCTCAGAGCTGTACTTGCGCTGCCCTTCGCTGGCCAACGGGGAAACCACGGTCGGCCCGCTGGGGCACGACATCTTGTGCAAGATCGTGGTGTCCAAGGGCGTGGGCCACGTCATGGAGACCGAAACCTCAGGGCCACTGGGTGAACCTGCACGGGCCTATCTCGCTGAGGCATTTGCGCTTCAAGCTCACCGACTACCAGGGCAATGTGGTGGACACCAGAGGCACCAGCGTGTCCTTCCTGATCTTCTTGGACACCGAACGATGAAAATGTTTTTTAGATTAAATGGCTGAGGAAGATGCACCCGCTCCTGTGGCCGCCGAGCCTCCCATGGCCGAGCCTCCCGTGGCCCCCGAGCCCGCCCAGCCGGCGAAGCCTGTGGTGGCCGAACCCCCTGCGCAGCCGGTCCCTGAGCCGACCGAGGCTCCTCAAGAAGCGCCGCAGCCCAAAAGGCGAGGCCGACCCCCAGGCTCGAAGAACAAGCCGAAGCCGCCCCCGACGGTGGCCGTGGCGGAGCTTCCGAAGCCTCCTCAGCCGGTTGAGCCGCCGCAGCCGGAGCCCCAGCAACAGCCCCCGCAACACCCGCAACAGCCCGTGCCCCCTGAGCGGCCTTCGGGCATGACGCCCTCGGAGGCCCGCCAGGCCCGGCAGCTCTCCCGCGCCGACCGCTTCCACGAGCTCCTTCTCCGCAATTCCATGGATATCTAAAGATGATGCCCTTTCCGGAGCGGCGCAACGAGGCCGCGATGCTGCGGGCCTTTCACAAGCAGTACCCCAGCTACAACTTGACGCCGCTGCTCTACAAGCGGCAACAGCAGTTGATCGATGCTCGGGCCTTCAACGAGTGGCTGGCCAACCGGCGTCAGCGCCAGGAGGGCGAAGCCTATGCGGATGAAGTGGGGCGTGCAGTCGACGCCGTCAACAGGAGGATCCCGCAATTGAGGTGGGCCCCCGCCGAGCGAGCGGGCGTGCGCCGAGTTGCGCGGGACGTGGCCGCCGGGCGAAACACGTCCGACTCTGGGGTTTACGGCGGCTTGATGTAAAGCACATGGAGGAGCGACGTGCGCACGGCTTCCGCGTCAGACCCTCCTACGGGCAAGTCTTGGGCTACATAGCCGAGGGCGAGCCCTTGCCCATCAATCTCCCAAACCGCAACGCATCCATCCTGACATCAAGCCACTTCTGGCTTCAGGACTACCCCCAGAGCAGCGAGCCCGAACCTGCCCCGCTGCCCCACACGACCGTGGACCCTGCAGCGGCCTACGAGGATGCCAACGAAGGCTACGATGGGGTGCCCTTCCCGAGAAGGGACTTCCTGCGCCCACGGCCCTTCGACCTGGACAGCGAGTCTGATTTTGGTGCCGTGGACCCCGGCCAGGCGCTGCGCAACGACGGGTTGAACCCACCGCCGGCGCCGGGCTTTTTGGGGCGGCTGCAGCAGGCCGAGGCCGCTGCGGGAGCTGCTGCGGGACTGGCGGGCTCTGCTTCTGCCATTGCGGGGCACGGGCAAGACCTCTACAACGAGGGCCTAGCACCCCCGCCTGACGAGGTGGCCCCTCCGCAAATCATCGGCCGGCCCAGCGAAGTGGAGCCGCTGCTGGAGCGAGCGGGCCAGCGGGCGCAGGAGGTGGAGAGGACGGCAGCCCGAGACATCGAGCAGTTCATGAGCGAGCAGGTGGCCGAGGCCGAGGCCACGGAAGGTTTCGCTTCCACGGCGGAGGCGGCTGCAGGAGCTGCAGAAGCGGCAGCGGCTGCAGAGGGCCCCGGAGCGCTTGCGCTGTTCGGCGAGGCGGCACTGGGCACCGCTGCGGGCATGGGAGCGGCAGCAGGAAGCCTCGCAGTGGCCGGCGGGGCGGCCGCACTCGTGGGAACCGCATGGGCACTGCACGGCGGCATGGTGGCGGCAGAGCACCTTTTGGGCTGGGGCGGAGGAGGAGGCACGGACACGGACGCATCGCGCCCTAGCTCCGCGCCAGACATCCAGACCTTGAATGGGATGCAGGAGTTTGGAGCTGAGCAACACTTCCAGCTCCGGGAGCAACGCCCGCGGACGCAGTTTTACCGCATGCACACTGAGGACGAATCGGAGCCGCGGGCACAGCCGCCCCCGAGGGTGCAGGCTCGTCCCGCGAGGCCCACGCGTTTCCCCACAGGCCTCAACCCCGCTCCCTTGGCGCAATCCTCAGGCAGCGAGTCCTCCCGCGGGCCTCGCATGCAGCGCCAAGCGGCGCCGCCCCCGTCCTTCGAGGCGCTTCGCAGCGCGAGCGAGCCGGAGGCCGCATGAATCTTTCGCTAGAAGTAAACAGTATGGAGCAGGTGACTGCTGCAGTCAACGATGAGTTGGTTCAAAGCCTCGACTACAAGCTCCAGTCGAGCAACGTCAATTACGTGCAATCAAGAGCCGATGTGGTCTATTACCCTTCAAGTTTGAGCGTCTTCACGCCGACCACGAGCCGCGTGTGCCGCATTCCTCTGACCAGCGGCCAAAGTTTCGTGGACGGCGAGTCAGTCAAGCTCGGCTTCACGGTGCGCAACAACTCCGACACGGCCACGCTGCAGCTCGCCTCGCCGGACCCGAGCTGCCTCATCGACCGCATCGAGGTGTTCGCTAATGGAACTCGCATAGAGGACATCTCCTACTACAACCGCTGCTCGTACATGTATGGCCTCCTGAAGAACGAGGAGTGGTGGCTGAACCGGCACATCCAGGGCTTCCTGGCGGACGGCGGGGGCCACGCCGCACCCATCCCGGCCTCGGGCTCCCGCACCGTGCTCATGAGCCCGCACCTCATCGGCATCCTGAATTGCGGCAAAATGTTGCCTCCCGAGCTCAATCTCGTGCTTCAAATCACCTTCTGCGACCCCACGGACGGGGCCCGCAACGTCAGCGGGAGCCAGGACTACACCATCGAGAACGTGAAGCTTTACGCCTCTCAAGTTACCCTCGACTCGGCTCTTCGGGAGAGCTTCCAGAGAATCATGACCAGCGGCCGCAGCCTGGTTTTCAGCTTCCCGACCATCCACACGCAGCTGTCGAGCATCCCCGCAGGGTCCACCAGCTACAACATCGTCGTTAGTCGTGCATTCACCAAAATGTTAGGCGCTTTCGTGACGTTCAACAAGACCACGGAGGACCACGTGGACAATTTCGAGTACCCTGGAGCGAACGCGAACCGGAACCTCAAGGGCCAGCTGCAACTGGGCGCTCTCCAATATCCCAGGACGGCCAACGAGAGCATCGCCGAATGGCATGACTTTCTCGAGATTCTGGCGGGCACGTACGACTCGAAGCTGCGCAACATGCGCATCCGGGACAACCTGTTCGGGAACACGCAGTTCGTTGCGGCCTTCCCCGTGGAGCGTGTGCCCAAGCATCCTTTGAGCGGCATCTCAACACGCTCGGGCGACCTGTGCCGCTTCAGCTTCAGCAACATGGAGGCGGACCGCGCGGACCAGTGTTTTGTGCACATGCTGTCATATCAGCTCTGTACTTTGAGCTCGGCGGGCGTGTCGAGCCTCGACTGATAGTAAAACATGAGTCTTTTCGAGTCGACCATCACCGGGAACATCCTCAACGATGGCCAGACCCCCATCACCACCATCGAGATGCAGGGCATCTCTGCAGGGCAATTGGCCACGGTCCTGACGGCCTATACGCCCCTCACGGACACGGCCGCCAACACCGCCTCCATTGGGACCAACTCGGCCGCCATGGCCGCGCTGCAGACACAGGTGGCCGCCATCCCACCGCCTCCTGACCTCGCGCCCTATGCGCTGGCAGCCGATTTGGCAGCCGCCGAGGGCCTCATCGCTGCCAACCAGTCTTCCATAACCACCCTCAGCAGCAGCCTCACCACGGGGCTCGCGGGGAAAGCGAACCAAAGCGCACTGGACGCGCTGCAGCTGGACGTCAACTCCAAGAGCACGCCCGCCTCCGTGGACCTGAAGCTCGCCAACCATCCCACTAACGCTTCCATGAACAGCGCCATCACCAGTGCCGACAACGCAGTACTTGCGCAGGTCGCAGCCACCTATGGGCTGAAGAGCACGCAGGACCAGCTGGCCCTCGACGTGGCGGCCCGGTAAACAGCCGCTGACGTCGACCAGAAAATAGCGACGGCTCTTTTGGACCGGCCCACAACCACCGACCTCAGCAGCACAGTGGCCCTGCGCACCACGCCCGCGGATGTCTCGCAGCTCATCGCTACGGCCCTTAAGATTCTTCCTTTCGTGCAGCAGGCGGCCCTGGACGCCGCCCTGGCCATCCGAGACGGGAGGCTCGACGCCGCCGAGGCGGCCCTGGCAGTGCTGCAGGCAGCGGGGCCTTTTGCGACGGCGGCGGACCTCTCGGCTTCCGAGACAAGCCTGCAGTCTGCCATCGACGCGCTCAACTCGGCGCTGGCTGCGCTCACCACCGGCGGGGGCACGAACCTCGCCAACGCCCAGGCGTGGCCCGGGCAGACGACCTGGGACCTCCTGTTGGGCACCAACACCATCCGCAACTGGCACTTCAATGCGCCCCTGAGCGTCACCCTCGAGAACGACAACTTCACGCTGAGCTGAGCCTGGCCTGCGACGCGTACACGCAGGGAGAGGTCAATGCCCTGCTGGCCCCCCTGGCCAGCGAGTCCTGGGTGCTGGCCACCCTGGGCAGCTATTACGACTCCGGGGAAACCAATGCAGCAATCACTGCAGCGCTGGCGGCCTACTACGACTCGGCCCAGACGGATGCAGCGATTGCTACGGCCGTGGGCGGCATCGACCTGAGCGCATACGTGCCGTGGACCGGGCTTCAGGCGCCCATCCTGAACGAGATCGCTATAGCACTCGCGTCCTACTACGACTCCGCGCAAGTGGACGCCCTCATTGCGGGCGCAGCTATTTCCAACGCACCCGCCTGGAGCGGGAACACCACCTGGGAGCTCCTGACCGGGCAGGCCCTGCGGAACCTGCACTTCACCGGGCCCCTGATGGCCACGCTCCAGAACTCGGGCAACACGCTGCAGATCGAGTGCCAGGCCTACGACCAGAGCCAGACGTACACGCAGGCGGAAGTGAACGCGCAGATCTCGAGTGCCGTGGACGCCCTGAACGTTTCGCAGTATGCCATGCAAGCCGACATCGACAGCTCCATCGCCTCGGAGCTCACTAACTACTGGGACCAGGGCGAGACCTCGGCGGAGATCGCGAGCCAGATCAGCTCCTCTGGGCTCCTCACCGAAGTGCAGGGCGATGCCCGGTATCATCCCGTCAACGGCAACGCCGGAGGCGGAGGCATCATCCCTATGGTGCTCGACAACTTCACGCCCAGAATGATAAGGGCGCTGCTACCCCAGGCACCCCTGGGAGCGAACCTCATCCTCGGCAACTCCGCCACGGTGCAACTGACCTGCGACTGCTACTCGAAGAGCGAAAGCGACGGGAGATACTTCTCCAACACCGACTACACACCTCTCGACTCCCGGTACCATGTGGTCAATGGGAACGCGGGGGGCGGAGGCATCATCCCTATGGTGCTCGACAATTTCACGCCAAGAATGATAAGGGCGTTGCTGCCCCAGGCGCCCCTGGGAGCGAACCTGATCCTCGGCAACTCCGCCACGGTGCAGCTGACCTGCGACTGCTACTCGAAGAGCGAATCGGATGCGCGCTATGCGCTGGCGGGGGCACCGCCCGCGGACCCCCTGCTGGTCAACGACGTGCGCGCCAACGGAGCGGATTTCTTGACGCTGCGGGGCGGCAGCCTGGGCATCGAGTTCGAGGCTTCCAACGGGGCCGCCGTGGCCGACCTGTCCTCGAGCCAATTCAGCCTCAAGACGGGGGTCAACATGCTGACCATGGGCCGCATCTTCGCGGACTCCAGCCTGGGCATCGCCACGGCCGGCAGCTTCCAGCGGACACGGTGGAGCCCCTGCTTACCACCAATCAGTTCCTCAACCTGAAGGCGGGCACCGTGTCTGTGCGTGTCACGGACCAGGCGGACCAGAGCCTCTGCACCTTTGCCACGTCAGAGGTGCACTCGGTGGCCCCGCGGCTGCGAGTGGACACGGAGCTCTACATCGACGACGCCACGGGCACAGCCACGGGGCTGGTGACCAATGCCATCTCCACGCGTCTCCAGGACACGCAGCTCACCATCACCGGCGGCTCCGGGGGCACCGTTGTTACCGGCGCACTGGATGCGCAGGGCACGTTGACCTCGGGGAGCGTGGAGCTCAGCACGGAGCTGCGGGCGCCCACGGTGCGGGCGAGGCCCACAGACGACTATTTGACCCTCACGGGCGGCACGCAGGGCACCTACCTCAACTCGGTGCTCTACACGGCTTCCGCCATCAGGGCAGACAACGGCATCGTCTCGAGCCCCGCGTACCTGGAGCTCATCGGCGGCAGCGTGGGCGTGCGGGCGCAGGGGGACCTGCAGGTCGTGTCCACCGTCAACAGCGGGGACGTGATGGCGGAGGTGCTGAACCTCGCGGCCGCGGGCAACGCGCGGCTCCTCGTGGCCTGCAATGCGGGCTCGGCCGAGCTCACCGCCTCTTCCGCGGGGGGCGTGCAGCTCTACGCCCAGGACCAGGCCATCTTCCGGCGCACGGCGGCGACCGGGCCGGCCAACCTCATCGTGGAAGCCAACACGGGCGGGGCCAATGATGGGGAGGTGATTGTGAACTTCGGCTTCCAGAACCTCTCGGACGAGAAGCTGAAGCACAGCGTGGAGCCCGCGGGGCTCGAGGAGCTGCAGGAGCTCTTCGACGCCGTGGCGCCCAAGTGGTACCGGAGGACCGACGGCAGCCAGAAGCGCACGCTGGGCTTCATCGCGAATGAAGTGCAGGAGACGGGGCCCGTGGGCCAGGCGCTGTGCGGCAAGCTCGTGGACGAGGAGCTGGGGGAGCTCGTGACGCTCGACTACAACCGCATGTGCTGCGTGCTGTGGGGTGTCTGCCAGGGGCTCCAGGCCCGTGTGGAGGCCCTGGAGAAGAAGGGCAAGAAGCGGGGTCGCTCGTGATATAAAATGGACGCGGAGAACGTGAACCTATTCCGGCAGCTCGCCGCGGACTTCTCGGTCCGCGATGTGCGGAAGCTGCACCAGCTGGCACGGCGGGAATTCCCGAACCGGCCGGGCATGACCTATGCCCGAGCCGCGCGAGCTTTGCGGGACGACGTGGCCAGGCAGATTTTGGCCCCCAAGCCCCGGTCTTTAGGCAAGAGTGCAGCCGAGGGCCCCAACGATCGGCTGCAAGCTGATTTGATCGACTTCAACGTCAACACTCGGGGGGCCAACAAGTACGGGCTGATTGTCTCAGACGTTTTCACCCGAGAAGCAGTGACCAAAGCCCTGCCCGATAAGAAGACAGAGACAGTCTCGGCAGCAGCCCGGGAGATCATCCCGAAGCTGGTGGAGGAGGAAACCAATTATGTTGTGTCCACGGATCAAGGGGTTGAATTCAATGGCCTGGAGGGGGCGCTGCCGGACCCCGTGGTGCATAGAGTGAAGGACCCCTCGGATCGGAACGCTCTGGCAGTGGTAGATAGAACCATCCAAACCTTGAAACGGGACCTGGCCAGCGACGTGGCCCGGCATGGGGGCAACTGGAGCGAGCACCTGCCTGACGCAACCTTGGCCTACAACCGCCGGCCACACGAGGCCGTGCATGCGGCCTCCGAGGATGTGGAGCACCAAAAATCCACCATGTTCCGATTGTACCAAGACAATGCCAAAAAGTTCCAGCACAACATGCAGCTCACCCGGCGCAGACAAGAGAGACTGGAGGAGATGGGGGCCTTCCGGGCCCCAACCAATGCGCGACGAAGCTTCGAGCCCCAATATGGAACCGCCAAGGATGTGGCATCCTACGACAGCATGGTGGTCAGGGCCACCGATGGCTCCGAGACCTTACTAAAGCATGCCTTACCCGTGCCCCGCGGGAGCGCTGAGCCGAAAGCGACACCAGTACCACTGGCAATCAGGCAACTGCGAGACTTCAATCCAGGGCCTGCTGCCCCGCCCTGATTCTTTTCATGCATGATAAATGAGCTCTGAGCTGTCAGCTGCCTGTGAAGCTGTCATGCAAAATCCTTCTGAGCAAAATCTGGTTAACCTGCTGGATTGTTGGTCACCACAATGGAAGCATCGCGGACGCCAACGAGGCATTGGCTCGGGATCATATGACATTTACTGCACCCTAGGACTGTATGCTTTTGGAGGCAACACCCCTTGCATGTCGAAAGCATCCGCCATAAAAGCAGCATGTGTCGCAGTCAATAATTTCTTGCGAGATCGCTTTCCAAACGGAAAATGGACTTCCCTCGCAGTGATTCTGAACCCTCACATAGGACTTCACCGCGACATGGGGAACATGATTGGCATGCCAAATTATGCAATCGCACTGGGTAGCTTTGCTGGAGGCAAAGTCTGGATTGAAGATGAACAAGGCACGTCACTGGACGAAGTTGTGATGAAAAACAAAATTCATCAGCTTCGCGGATCCTGGCTGAACATGCACGACAATCCAGTGTCCTTCGACGCGCGTCGGTTCCACAAAGTCGAGCCACATGTAGGTCACATGTGGGCCATTGCGGCATACACTCCGACTGCTTTCAAGCGTTGCTCAAATGAAAATTGTGAAGAATTGACAACTCTGGGGTTCCCTGTTCCAGAATCCTGCACGTAGAAACTCCTATCAGGCGGACTCGACCCAATTACTCGAAGAAACTCCGACACCGCCGGGCCGCCGTACCGCCGAAAGATGCGGCTTCGAGAAGCAGCCGAGTAAAATCCGACCCCGCCAGACCGCGCTACGGGCCAGAAGAAATTTACCGCATTTTTCCCGCACTTTCGGGCGTTCTCAAAGTGAGGCCTGGGGCTGTAGGACCGCGTTTCGGAAGGGGTCGGGGCGCGGGGGGGAGAGAAGGACTTACCCCCATCACGAAACAGCCAGAGACTACACTCAAACAGAACGCAGTTGGGGAAACAGAATATAAGAGAGAGCCTGTGCACCTGGAGTACGTTGAAACCTGCGAGCACGGACCCGGAAGGGCCTGTACACCTTGAGCCTGTGCCTTTGCTGGCACCTGTAAGGTACCCTGATCACCTGCAAGCACGCCTGACCCGGGCGGGCCTAAGCACCTTGAGCGTGTGCATGTGCGGGCACCTGGCGGCCAGGCTCGTACTAGCGAGGGGGCATGGCACTTGTACCACTGTTGCAAAGAGTGGGAGAGGCAGGCATACTCAGCGATGGGGCAATTATTCGAAGGCCTAACCTTTGCTGCGTTCAGGCTCTTACTAGCAGACAAAGGCCAGCGCAATGCAAAGCACTTTCTTGGCGTTGCTCTTACTAACCAAGGGAAGCGCACAAACAGACAAACACCCACCTTCCCCGTCTACAACGGCAGGTCACCACAAGCAACATTTAATGGGGTGGGCCTGACAAGTGCAGTTTGGGCCAGTCGAGAATGACGCACGGCGTTCAAAAGTAAACTGGATCTCAGATTGCGGCAAAAACAGCTTCTATCTTCACATGCACCGCAAAATTAAAAGGTGTGAAAAGCAGAGCTCGCGCAGCTGTCTCTTTTTCACTTCGCACTTGAGCCAAACACCAAAGTGTTCAGCAAGCTTCAGTTCTTGCAGCAAGCTCTCTCCAAGAGCTAAGGGCTCCAAAAAAAACTACGAATTCCGTCTCAACTTTGTTCTACAAAGGAGGTAAAGCAAAAGAACAATGCAACTGCTTTGGTCTACACCTCGGGGACTTCAGGTCACTTCCGAACAGCAAAACAGCGAAGCTTCAGAGTCCACTCTGCACTCCTACTCCCATCCTACACGTCCAACGGCAACGAACGAAGTGGCGGGGACACGGAGTGAGTTGCAGCAAGACAGAACCTCAGAGTTTCGACACGCACTTCTTCACTACTGCTCTCAAGCAGTTCCAAGTGCCTCAAAACTCATCCTAGGCCATGCCAACAAGACAAGACATGCGTCGCAGTCAACCCAAACATGCTTTAGGGACTTTGGGCAAAACCAAACATGCTCATGCCAAGTCATGCAGCAGAAAAACTCTCATGCTTCTCTCTGTATGGTCAAACACCACATGGCACCAACTGGGCAAACACGACAGGTGAATTTTACACCACGCGCACGAGGCGGCCGTAGGCCTTTGGAGTCACTTTGGCTCAGGTGAAACAGTCGGGGGGACACCTACCCTATGGTACACAGAGCAAACTACTGCCGGCTCATCAGCAAGGCTGGCTCACCACGCCTTTAGGCCTGGTAACACCACTGGCCATCACGACACCCCTTCCAGCCTGGTGCACCAAGCTTAGGCCGGGTAACACTTGCCAGTGGCTCAGCAGAAAGGCGAACATCCTGGAGCACACAGGATTTCACACATTTGGCTCGGTGTGACAGAGGGGGATCCACGACCTGAACACCTGCAATTCCCACACAGCAAACAAGGCTGGCCCCACGCCTTGACATGGTCTGGAGACCCCAAGACCTGACTGACAACACCACAGGCTCGGGAGGCCCAAGCCTATTGGTTAGTCAATGCAGCAAGGTGAGCCCAATCAGAGACTCGGCCGTTCATGAGGACCAGTTGGATCTCCAAGTTTGCCTTGAGCGCGGCGGGGAGAACCGCAATGATATCGTTGAGGCAAGGGACCACCGCCTGCCTGCGGAGATACGGCTCCAACGGCGTGACGTCACAGACACATCGAAGGGCCTCGATGAAGCTGCGCAAGCTATACTTGGGAAACCAACATCCAGCATTGAGCCCTTCGAAGTGCCAATCCGCGAGATCGAAAAAACACAACATGGGTGTAGCGGCACTGAGTCCTGGTTTTATCCCCAGGTTGGATTTTGACACATCGCGAAGAGCAAAATGTCGGCTCAATTGCAAAAGGAGGGCGAAGGCATACAAGGACCACTGAGGGTGGATCTGGTTCCGAGAACCAAAATCCGTGAGGAGCTCGACTTTTTCCACAATCGACCAAGCCACCAGATGGGACCTGAACTCCCAGGGTCGCCCAGAGAGCAACACCTGCAGTGTCGTGGAACCAGCCCCAATGATGGTGGCTGCAACCTTAGGAAGCAAAGCCGAAATCGCCACCTCATCCCCAAACGCCTGCTTTGTCCCAACCTTCAAGACATAGCCACCACCAACATCATATCCGTACCTGGTTCTTCCATTGTGGATATATGCTGCAGTGTTGTCCCCCGTGTCATTGAACCACACGTGGATCTGGTCCTTGGGGAGGGCCTGGAAAACACCAGCATAGCCCAGATCGGATTTGAAAGCCACCAACTCTGGCTTGGTGTTGCGAGCCCTCTCAGCAATGGCAAAGGCTGCGCCCGCTTCCTGATCCATATCATCAAAGTTCAACGGGGCGGGCAGCATATGCGCAGCTGGCGGTGCTGGGGGAGGCTCCGGATGCACAATGGGATCAGGCACCATTGGCTCCTCCTCACTTTCTTCAGAGCAGCTGTCCTGGTTTGGGGCACCCAAAACCGGACCAGCCTCAGGTGCATAGGGATTCTCCCGAAGGACAATTCCAGGAACTTCATCCATCTCAGCCTGGTTTGCCACCAAAGCTGCAGGGCGGTGCTCAGGATTGCGCTGCTCAAGCTGAGGATTTTCCCGAAGCACGACTCCAGGATTTCTCATCCCCTGAGCCTGGTTGTCCACCAAGGGCTCAGGGGGCTGCAACTGTTGTGGCACGGGCTCAGGGGCTTGCTCATCCTGTGGTTCCGCCCTTCTCCGCCTAGGAGGCGGGGGGTTCACACCAGCAGGCGGCGCTCGCATCTTAGGAGCTGCACCTCTAAGCCGAGCTCTCTCACGCTTGCCCGGCCGGGCTTTTGAGTAGGCCTTAGAGGCAGGGGATTTGTGCTTCGGCGGCATACTTTGAAGGCAATCTTAGCTTGCTTGAGCCCAGACTGCTTCGATTTTGATTTGGGTTTCGGTTTCGGGAGCAAGTTCCGGGCATGTGGTTCCTGACTGGCAGTAGGCTGGAAAAAAGACTTCACACTCCTAACACCAGTGTCAGTCACCTCCTTCGCCTTTTTGGAACTAGCCGTCGCAACTTTACTCCCATTAGGCTTACAGGGTTGGCAGATCCAAGAGGGAGTTTTTCGGACTCCTACCTTGACCATCCTGTCACACTTGGAACAAACCCACGACACCCCCAAATTAACCCAAACGTGGTCAGGGCGAGGGCCCCAAGGGGGGGGGTCTGCTTGGACACCAGGGCACGGGTGTGAGGACTTAAGGGAGAAGACTTGAATGGGGTCGGTCTGCTGGATATACAGTCCACACTTCGAGCATTTAGCAGTCAAGTTAGACGCCTTCCGACTCCCTTCGACCCAGGCATGGCCAAGCTGTTGTTTACCAGCGATCAAATCTTCAAGTTGCAACCTCTTATTAGGCCCCTTCACCTTTGAAAATTTTTTCGTTTTGATGACAGCAGAATCACGAACACGAGGCTTGGCCCGAGTTTTCCGCTGCTCCTTATCCGGCCACTGCACCTGAGGGCCCTGGTCCTTATCATAAGAGAGAAGGGCTGCAGAGCGCTTGGCCAACAAGGTGTTGACCTGAGTGATCACAGCATCCAGCTTCTTTATGCTGGACTCATAGAGTGGATCTCTTCTTTGTTCAGCCGCTTCACCCACCAGGCGGTCGACCAGCTCATTGGCCCGCCTACGCCAAAGTTGGTTGGCACCAAACCTCGCAATGAATTTGGGAACCGAAAGGTGCGACGCAATCCAAGTGGGGCGGATTCTGTGGGAATGCTCCCTGATTGGCTCAAAAAGATCAGCCGAATGGATGGAAGGTTTCCCCTGGATCCTAGAGAGAATCCCTTTACAATCCATTGTGAGGTCAACATCTCCTTGAGTGTGCTCGGCAACAAATTTAACAGCAGCCGCCTCCGCCCGGAACACCGAAAGCGGGGTTTGCAAGGTACCAATTGCCGTTGCAATTACAGCCTGTTCGGCATTGTCCAATCTAAAGGCAATTGCAGCCCACGTGTAACGATGGAATCGGACATCTTTGGACCGGCCTGGGGAGCCGTCGGTGGCGAAATAAACCCCTTCTCCACTGATGACATGAGATTCATTCCACGCCCCAGTTGTGCGCACCCATTGGCCATCATCCGGGTAGGTGGTGGCCGGGGTCATCCCCCTGGACCACAAGGAAGAGATCGGCCACTCTTTTCTGAATCTTTCAAAAGCAGGGGGCTCTGGGAGGTTGGTTAGCCACCAGGAACACTCCCATAGCACATGATTCAAAGATGCTGCGCATCCACATTTGAGGCAGGTAGCACATGGGTCTGCCCGGATTGCACCCTGCCACACCGCCATGAGCGAAGTTTTTTGCTGCGGCGGCAGCCTACATCTAAGCTTTTTGAGCGGGTGCCAATCGATTCCAGTCAAGAGGGGCGAAAGGGAATCCTGCTGGGCAATGCGAGTATGCCTCCACCTGTCCGTTTCCAAGGCAAGGGAGCACAGTAGGTGATGCATGCCGACCTTAGTGGTGATCTGGCAGGTATCTTCCGGGCATTTCCATGCTGATGCACTGACCGGGGTCCAACCCAAGTCAACCAGGTAACACAGCAGGGCCCCTACTGGACCAGCAGCGCGCTTCCAGGGATACTCGGTATGCAGGTACTCCATCCACATGTCAGGCAGAATGTCATCAAAATGCTGTTTTTGCCTGTCAGGGATAAAACACAGCAACCGGTGGATCGCTTGGAAATGCTGGGAGATAATCGTGTAAGCCGGGTCCGGCCTCTTAGGTGCAGCATGGTCGATCGTCAGATCTACCGAGCCCAGCGACATGCGCCCCAATTCATGCGCGAAGGAGGCGCGCAGCCAGTGCATCCTTTTAGGAGCAAGTCCAACAGACTCATGGCCATACATGCCCACGGTTTGCACTCCCGCTCTTAAAGCACGGAGCCTGACTGGTGTCGACTTAACCCGAAGAGTCGAGAGCCTAGCGCAACGCTTCACCCCCTTACCAAACCGTTTCCGGTGCACCGGGATACGTCTCCTTCTTCCAGCAGTGCAATCAATGCCCAAATCCTTGGCAGCGTCCTTGATTTGTTCAGACTCAGGAAGGTACCCTTTTCAGGCAGCCTCGACCTTCTTTGAAGAACACACAAAGGCCGTCTTGCCGATGCTGATGGGAAGTCCAGCTTGTTCTAAGCCCCCCACCACAGCTTTGTACAGCTGCGCTGCCCTACGCGCAGCTAACTCAGGGCTAGCAGCTTCAGTGTCAAAGCTAGTGTCATCAACATAGAGGTCGATGGTTTTGGCGAGCCCCGTATTCCATGCCGGGCGTAAAATGCTGTCAAAGGGGATCTTGCTGAGTCCCGGGGCAAAGGGGCAACCAGCTACCAAGCCCTTCGTCGGTTTGATAGGCCCAGAGATACACTTTTCAGCACTGATCCACCGCGGCGCACTATAAAGTGAGATTGCAGCATTTAAAATGAGTGGGGGTACCTCAAGGGCAAGGGCCTGGGCCACAAAACTGTGGTGGGAGACATTTTCATAAAATGCTTTAAGGTCCAAGAGCACCGTTACACCGTGTCTCTTTTTCCGGTACAGGATCTCATGCGACATTTTACGGCGCAACGCAACATCAAGACTTGATAAGCCCTTCTTAGCGCGGTCCCAGTCTTGGGTGGCGGCATAATTATCAAGCCATGCTTTGAAGACCGGCCAGCGGAGTTTGGCCCATAAGCGGTACGGCACAGGAGTCAGTCCAATCGGTCGCTCCTCGTCCTCAGACTTGTTGATGAGAGCGACAAGAACAAGAGAAAGTTGGGCCGGGAAACAACCCTGACGTTCCCAAGTGTTGAAAAACGCAGCCAACCTTTCCAGTTGCACTGGGGCCAACTTCTGCAACATCTGTACACTCCACCCGTCAGCACCAATGGCTTTATGGGCCATTTTCTGAATGGCTTTCTCAACCATAGAGCCAGTAATCGGCGGGAGCGTCCTGGCTTGGGCAACTGCTGCATGTTGTAACGCGTGCCATTCAACCAAGGGGTTGTCTCCATTTCCTGGCAGAGGCCGCCATACTTCAGCCCAGTGAGCCCTGCGTATGTGCGGTCGAATTTCAAGGGGGATATGCCTGTACGGTCTGTCCGGAATCACATCCTCAGACTTAAGAGCCCTATACAAACCTCTCATACCCCCTTTACACGCCGCTTCCAGCCATTGACTGTAGGCCTCTTCACTCTGCTTGATGGCTTCCTTCAAAGCGGCCCGCCCTTGGAGCCCAATGATGTCAAGAGCTTGCGTGTGACTTTGAAGGTCATCTGCATCAAGCAGGCATTGCAAAGCATGGAGGGTGTGTGGTGGCACGTCAATCCAGTGATCATTCATCCTTGTCCTCGCCTGAATGAAGAGCGACTTCACTCTGACGTCAGGGTTAATTCCAAGTGCTTTCGAAGTCCAAAGGAGGAAGGACTGCCAAAAGGCCGGCCCCGAGCCTTTCCAAATTTTTTCCGGGCTGCTGGTTTTAACCAGGGGAAGGAACGCGTCTTCCAGTTTCCACCCACGACCCGCAGCAGCGGAAAACAGTTGCTCCTCAACCCCAGCACTGAAGGAAGCCCACTCATGGTCAAGTGGTTGGGATGTATCCCACAAACCACATGCTTGAGCCTCAGGGAGGTGCAACTCATCAGGGCATGATGCGGTTGGCTCAAGGGAGAATCCCTTCAGCTGCCGGAGGGGCAAATCCACAACCTCAAGCCTCAGCTCAACAGTAACCGCAGCATGGGGTTTGAACGGAACGTCCCAGCAAGGAGTAAGTGTGATGGCCGGCGCTAGATTGGCCGACGCTAACGCATAATCCAAGGTTCCCCCCGTATTGATTGTAGGGCTTGTCGGCACCGCCAACCGGCCTTTAACCATGGCTGCGTATCCAAATCGTAGGAGTTCTTCAGGAGGGCAGTTCCAATCACCAAGAACCAGCCAGGATGTGCTGGTTTGGCTGAGGAGCGCAGCCAACCTCCTAAGGATCTCTGGGTTAACCCCTCCGGTCGGGCCCACCCCGGACTGGAGGTAAAGGTTGAACAGGAGGAGGTCCCAACCCCTAAACCTAATTGAAACAGACACAAACCCTTTGCCATCCAAGAGGAAAGCCGGGCCAGTCACCGCATTACGATAGGAAGGAACCAGGGTGAGGAGGCCCCCTGAAGATCCTCCCTGGGTCGGAGCAGCAGGGCCCGCCCAAGCTTGCTTTCCAACAGATTGGAATTTGTTCACCAGGGCTCTGGTGTCGGATTCAGTGACATGTGTCTCCTGCAAAAGCCAAAAGGACTCATCCCGATCCACCAACCAAGTTCGAATCTCACTTCGATAGGTGGTGATATTGGCCTGACCAATCAGCAGAACCTTGCTATCTGACCCCTTTTTACAGAAGCCAGCCAGCACAGCGTCAACAGCATCAATCACCCCCAGGGTGTCATCCTTGGACTGCTCAAGGTCCTCAATCCATTGGAGCAAATCAGCCTCTTTGGCAGGCATATCCATCACAGGTGCAGCCTCAAGGATGTGGAGGAGGGCCTTCCACTCTTGAACCTGTTTTTTGTTGGCCTGGCCGGGCCTTGGCTGCGATATGGTGCTCTTCCGGGGCCTGGGACTGGGGGAGGCCTCAAGTGTGTCCAAGGATGAAACAACATGATCTGCATCATCAAACACGGCCCTGGAAAAGAACTTGGGCCCAGAGGTCTTCAAAGGGGAGGCCTTGCAAGGGGACGAGGGTTTGAAAGTTCGGCTGGGTAAAACCCAAGCCGGTTCATCGCATTGAGGCGGTTGTTGTGCGGGAAAAGGTGGGAGTGGCATCTCATGGAAAACAGAGGCAAGGGCACTGCCGATCGTACCACCCACGAGGTGGCCAGCAACGAAAACTGGACCAGCCGGGACCCTGAGAAGATCAGATGCGCACTCATCCTGAGCAAGGAAGGTACAAACCTCCTCACACCAGGTCAAAACATCACACGCATATTGCAAAGGAACGGAGAATTGCTCAACAACAAAGTGCTTAACCCACTTATCGAAGAGCGTCTGTCCTTGCGAAATTAAAACTGTGCACCAGTCAGCCTGGGAAGCCAAGAGCGAGGAAAGGGAAAAAGAGCAACCCAAAGGCCCCGGCACTGGAGAAAAGGAAGGTTCCGCAGGTGTGAGGCCATAACACCGGGGTGGCGGGCCTGCAGTGCCCCCAGCCTCCTCGGTTCGGCCTGTTTCCTACTTATCAAGTTCGCCTTCCTTCCCCTCTTTCTCTTTTGGGGAACGACTTCTTTCATGACTGTGGTGACCATGTGCAACAGGGGCTGGCCTTTGCGGAGGCCCGAAAGGCCTGGGCGCGGCGTCAGTGCCTAACAGCTCCCCTACACCAAGGCCCGGGGGGGAATCCAGTGCTTCTGCCTTCCTCCGCTTGGAAGCATGCTCGGCCTGGATGGCCTTCCAGGTGGCCTGCTCCTGGGTCAGCTGGACTCCAAGCTGTCCCAAAACCGCTTCCACATCCATAGGATCTGTGCCATCCTCCGTCTTAAGCACTTTCTCATGGTAGTCACCTCCAACTTTCTCAACCTTTTGCTCAGCATCTTTGATCTCCGCCTGCAAGTTTTGCATCTGCGAAAGCAAGGCAGTGAAGGCAGTCTTTGCATTGTCAATTCGTTGCTGCAAGAGCAACTTGTGATGGCCAAGCTCCCTTAGCTTTCCAACTGCAGTTTTGAAAGCATCCTGGGTGGCAAGTGCAACTTCGAAAGGCTCCGGGTCCCTCTTGTCAAGCTCGAGCTTGATCTCGTCAGGCAGGGCTTCTTTGTGCTGCATGAGCAGCTTAAGCAGCGGGTCTTCATCATCAGCAGGCTCCGGTGGGGCCAGCCCATTCTTCTTGAGCACATGCTGCACTGCTTCAGGCAAAGAACCCCAGTGCTCACCAAGGACCTGCACACCCTTAAAGCCCTTGGATGGCTGGGTTTTTGCAGGCTTGGTCGGCTTGGCAAAAACGGCACGCTTCTGGGACCATTGGTACGACCCCAGGTCCGAATCCTGGGTGTACTGCGACTGTTGCAAAGGCCATGGCTGCCCACATCTGCAAAAAGGACGGCGCTTGATCTTGTGATTGTAAATCCAAGAGTCGTTGCAAAACTGGCACACAGTGTAGCTTCGCGATCGAGGCATAATCACCACAGCTGACTGCAAGCTGACACACCAGTGCACTGGCTTTGAAAGCTGGATCTAGGATCTCAACCACACCACAAGACCCAAGGGTTCAGCTGGGACACCCAAGCCTCACCACAAGGGTGTGGATTTTGTGCAGCAGTTCCCACAAAGGTTGCTCAAATGCTATGGCTCGAGAGGCTCAACCTGGGATTGAGAAAAAGGCCTGTTACCCCACAGAGTTCAGGACTAAAGCCTCAGTTCACAGCAAGCTCCCTACCACAACACAGGCAAATGGCCTTGAGCAGTAAAACTTGAGCCACAGGTGAATTTTACTTCAGCAAGCGCGAGAGCGTTACCCAGTGGGTGTCCTTCATGCAAACGAATTCGCCCGGAGCCCCTTTGGGGCGAGACATAGTCTCTCGGGCAGTCGGTCACCCTGCTACGGCAAAACCACAGCTCACAAGCTGGGAATGTGGTGCACCCACAGGCCATCTACAGGGAACTATGTTACAGCTACTCATCAGGAAGAAGTTGCGACCGCAGCCCAAAGGCTGGGAAAGGATGCCCCCAGAGAAGCAGCCCTGTTTCCACAGCCTCCTAGGCCGGGGTGGTGCACAGCCAGCGAACTTCTTCCCCCAAAGGTCCAAGGGTGTTGCAGATCTGGTCAAAACACGCTTGAGGTGGACCCCTGGAAACTTGCCGAAAGTAGCCCACATCATTAGGGCAGTATTTGGCAACTACCCTCCAAAAGCCAGTCCATTCCGGCCTCCCTTGGGAGGGGCCCCAGTTGTTGGCATCGATGAAGGCCGGAAGGGGAACCATCCTCGTGCCCAGCGGCCTGTGGCTCAGGTTTGAAATGCCAACATCCTTGGCATCAACCCCACAGGCATACAAGTGCAACAAGGTGGCCAACGTGGCCAGAAGGTAGGAGTGAACACGGAGACCATTGGCAGCATTTTCCTGGAGCCACTCACGGGCCTGGCAGCGATGCTCTTGCACGTGGTACAGGAAACGATGCAGGCCCGCACTCACCTTCAGGTCCTAGTCCAATCCACATGGAGCCACTGGTGAGGATGGGAGCCATGAGCCGGGGAAAACGCCGCGCCATATCGATCTCCGGACCGTTTAAGGATGCATCATCCGTGAGCTTCAAGACCAACGCCTGAGACAGCTGGTAGCCTACACGGCTTTGTCCCCAGCCCAGGCGCGTGAGAACTCGGGCTTCCACCACAACCGGTCCCACGTAAGTGTGAGGATCTAGGCCGTGCATGCTGGTTGGGAAGGTCACGGCTGGACCTAGCCTCCTCTGACCGCCTCTTAGGTGGAGGGGAACGGGTTGAATCACGCGGAACCGAACGCAAATCCACACCGGACCCTGCTACCTGAGGCCTCCTCCTTCGCGGAGGGGTGGGAGGGGTAGGGCTTCTGTCCACTGAGCGCAAGACCAAACGAGGGGAGGGAGAGCGCCGACGGTCACGCCGAGGAGCCGGAGGGGGGGAGGCGGCCATGCCTTCGCCGCCGGCTGGGCCGAAGAGCTGGAACCCCCAGGAGCCGCCTCCTCAGGGAGGGGTGCCCCTTCTGCTGGTCATCTCCCACAGGCCCTGGTCTATGCGCTGTTGCCTGCGGATGTGGGGTGGGGGTCGTCGCTTGGAATGCTGGAGGGTCGCCGTAGAGCGCCACGACTTCCCCTCTGCCATTCGTTGGCGCTGCTCGCGCCAAAAGGGGCCACGACCCCTGCCCTGTGAGCCCCCCATCACTGCTTCTTGAAGCAAAGGGTCTGCTGACCGGAGGGAAGCTCTTTCTTCTTTTTGGCACGGCTGGCCGGCTTCGGGGCAGGCTCCTTTGCAAGCCCGGCTTCGCGTGCACTTGCCCCAGGAAGGGAAACCGCTTCCTTTGTTTTGCCAGGCCCCACCTCAGACACGTGCGACGCTGCAGCCTTAGGAAGGGAAGCCGCTTCCTTTAACGCTGAAGAAGAACCTGGAGAGTCCGGCCGCCCAGGAGGCGTGGAAACCGAGGCCTGGGCATGAAAGGACAGGGTTTGGTTATTGTGGAGTTTTTACAGGGTTTCTGGAGACCTAAACAAGGCTGAGAGTGGCCTGGAAGGAGGGTAAGATGGCACCCGGAGCACAGCCATCTACGTCCTTCATTTTTGAGCCGGTGCGTCGGGTGGAGGGTAGGCCAGAACTGGGGACCGTTATGGGGCATGTCAATGCACGGCTGCGCAAGCAAACGTTCTAGCCTATCCATCTCATGAACCTGCTGGAGGTAAAGCTTACATTTCACACAAGTGATTGCCAAATTGTTTGTTTTCAAATTTTCAACCCCCCTACTTGCCAGACATGACCACCTACTGCTTCCGGGACATCCACTTTCGCCAACAAAAGCTGGCGCTTATTAGGCCTTTGGGTGGTTGGGGTTCCTCCCTTTGGCTTCGGGGAACAAAATCATCTTTTGAGGCATGTTTCAAAACAACCACAGCTCGCGACGCCAGGTAATCGCAGATCCTGGTTACGAGCCTATCCAGGTCCTGGACTTTCCGCCCTGCTACAGGCGATATGGTGGCAGCTCGTTTGCCTGCCAACTCGTCAGCGCACTGGTTGGCCTGGTGTCTCCAAAGCTGGGAAAAGCCAAACCGCATTTCGAACTCACGGCTAGTTAGGTGGGATTTTACCCAGGTGGGACTTATCCTACCACGGTCCTCCCAGACCGGGCCCCAAAAAGCCGGGGTTGTTTTTTGAAAGGATTTTTTGGTGAGGGTCCTTAGGGCTGGTTTACAGTCCCCCGTAAGGTCAACCTGACCAAGGGTGTGCTTGATCGTCTGCACAATGGCATAAGATTCACCGTGCGCGACGCTTGTTCCGGGGGGGGTGAGGCCGGACATGGTTCCTAACTCCCGAAACTGACCATCTTGAACCCGCCCCACGACTACAGACCAGCTCACCCTTCGCAATCGCGGATCCTTGGTGAACATGCCCCCTGACGCGTCCGTAGCAACCACCAACCCGTCTGCTACTACCTGGGAGGACGTGAGAAACACGCCTGTCTTGACCACTTCTAGGTCCCCCGAGGGAGCGACTGGGAGGTATTTAAGGGGAAGCATACCCCGAAGCCACAGGCAGTCATCAGGGAAACGGCGCTTCTCCGCCAGAACGTACCCCGGTAACCGCATGCCACCAGGGAAGGAAGGGCACTCATACATGAGGTGGCGCAAGGTGGCTCCGGAATCGCCACAAAACTTACAGACATCCTTGCCACCATTGCCATTATGGAGAATGGACCCTTGGAAAACAGCCCGATAGGCGTACCGGGTTGTTTTGGTGCGCACTGACTTGAGCAGGCGACGCGGGACCGTCCAGTCGACCCCGCCACCAGCACCCGCTGCCGACGAGGCCGATCCCATGCGACGAGACCTCTGGGTCTTGATGATGTCCGTGAGGAAAGACGAGGTTTGGCAGACAACCGAAACCTCAGAAGGCTTGATTTCAAGAACACGCTCCTCAAAAACCCAGCGGGAAGGATCGTGGCCGTCGACCTGGAGGTCGCGGAGGTATTGACACATGGCTGAGATAGGTCCAGTGACCACGGACCAACCGTGTTTCGCAGCCTCCAGCCGCTTCCAGACCACTCGCCAAGTGTCCTTTACTGCCTCCCATCCCATGCGGTTACATCTGGCCATCATCCTGAAAAGACTTTCCACGTGCTGGGTTACCACAATAAGGTAGGGATCCTGAACCTCGTGGGCCGTCATATCTAGGATGGTATCCGTTGAACCGTATCGGCTCCTGCCTGCGTGTCGGGCTACCGCTGCGCGCATGGTTTTCATATGTTTAGGGGCAACCCCTTGTGCTTCATGGCCATAAAGACCTGAGGTGACCACACTAGAACGGTGCAACCGTAGCCGGACGCGGCGTGACGGGATACGAAGCTTACCCAACTTCAGGTTACGAAGGCTACCTACCCGGAAGCGTTTCTGGGCAGTAGTAGTCCTGCGCCGGCGGCCACTGCCACTGTCAAGGCCTAAATCCTTGACCACGTCGACTATGTCAGGGTCCCCTGGCCGCAGCAGCTGTCGCAGCGCCGCGGCCGAGCGGGGTCGGCCACAAATTTTGTTTTCTCTTGGCTGAGGACGAGACCTTCAGCCTGAAGACTGGCCTTGAGCACTCGAAAGGCTTCATAAGCCGCTCCCGCGGCTATATCCGGCGAGGCATGGAGGGAGTCTGCGGAGACATCGTCCAACCATACGTCGCAATGGTGCAAGCCTGGGACTCGTTTCAGTCTATGTAAGGGTTCGGACATGGTGAGCTTGGCCAAGGTGGGAGCGTACGGGCATCCCTGGATCATGCCCCGGCCTGGGAAGATGGTGGGACTGGGCTGGGATTCCCCCACCACCGTGCGACCTCCTTGGTAGAGGCGAAGGGAGAGGCACAGGGCCAAGGCTGGGAAAGACAACCGCAAGCCTTGTTCGCAAAGCCTCTGCCAAGAGACGCTATCGTAAAACCCATTAATGTCAACAAACAACGAGACAGTGCGCAAACCCTTGACTCTGGCAGACTCTTTGGAGCATTTCCTGGCCAGGGCAACGTCCAACGAGGTTCGGCCTGGAATCGCCGAGTCAAAAGGATGATCCGGGATGTAAGAGTCCAGCCACTGGCTGACCAAGAACCGCCGAGTCTTACACCAAAGCCGCCACAGGACCGATGTGAGACCGATAGGTCTTTCCTTCAAGGCACTCTTGGCCAGAAGAACAATCTGGACCTGGGAAACTTGGAGGGGAATGGCAAGGTCCTCCTCCATTTTCTTGAAGACGTTGGCTAGGACTGCATACGCGTCCCGAGGCAGGTCTCGAAGATCATTGAAATCCCAGCCGTCCGGGCCTCCTTTTTTGGGATTCCTGGCGGCGCATATCTTAGCGACAGAGCTAGCAGAATGCTTGGGCAGGGAACGGACCTGCTCCCGGGCTAAGTCAAACAAGGCATCCCATACTTCCCCTTGGAGCGGAGCTGGCGACACCAGGTTACCCTGCCAGACCTCGCACCAAAATTCGAGCCGTTTATAGGGCCGCGCCAGGGGAGTGAACTCACGATACGGCCGTTCCAAGGTTTGCTCATCAGCTCGAAGGGAGCGGTAAAGGGGGCGGAGGTGATCATTTTGCGCCTCTTCTAGCCACTTGGAGTAAGACTCGGAGTTCTGGGAGGTCTGGGAGGCTAAAGCTTCCTTATATTTTGTCTCAACCTGGGGCACCAACTCCCGAGTGAGGCTGCTGCGGTCATCAGCATGAACCCAGTCCTTTAGGACGGGAAGAAGGGGGTCGTCCGGTGGAATGGAGGCGAAGGCCTCTGAGGACTTGGGGAACATCCCTGTCTGAAGCCAGGTGCGCCATCTATCCCAGATAGCCATAGGCCCTCCTGTCCAGGCACCTCCGCCAACTGGGTGCGAACGGCCTGCGGGGAAAATCGACCCACCAGCCCTTTCCTGTGGTGGCCTGGGCCTCCGACTGAAGGTCGCGAGACCATTGGCCCAAGGCGAGAGAGGACTCCTGCTGGGACACCACATTCAAGATCTGGACCAACTGGACTGGGGAGCGTGCGTGGAAGGAGGAGGGGGCCGGGGACACCACCGACCTGATGGTGGGGACTCTCAACTGGAGGGAGTGCACTGGCACGTCCAAGGTTAGAAGTCCGTGAGGCTTGAAAGGAGTGTCAAAAGACAGCCGGACCGTCGACAGGGACTGGAGACTGGGGTGGACGACGAAGAAGTCAATCTCGGAGTCCCCTCCCGCCGTAGGAGACCCACTGCCAACCACCCGGCCCTGCCACCTTTCTTCATACCTGGAGTTAAGGAAGTCCTGAATCGGAACGTTAAAATCCCCACCAACCACCCACATGCCTTGAAGGAGGGACAAATGTTGGGTAAGGCTGGTCAGGATAAGATCATTTACTGGGCTATCCAAGCCAGTCCCACTTTCCAGGTACAAGGAGATCCAATTGAAATCTACCCCTTTGGAGCGCAACGCCACAATGACATAACCACAGCCTTGCGAGGCGTGGAAGGTCACTAGAATCCTGGGCCCCAAGTGATTTTTGACTGCAATCCCTACTCCTCCTAGGGGGTTGCCTTTTGCACTTTTCGGGCTAGCAACACCAAAGAGCACAAACCCCAAATTCATCAAATGTCGGGTCTCAGTCTTAAGGTCCTCTTTGGTAAGGTGAAGTTCTTGCAGCATAAGAATGTCCGGGGACAAGGTATGGGCCCATTTCCGGTGACTCGAACGCCATCGGGTGACATTGGCCGAACAGACCTTGAGATTCCTAGGCTTAACTTCATAAGAGTTGGCAGAAAGATCCTCCGAACCTCGAAGGACAAAAACCCAGTCACTTGGGCTCGGGTTGGGGGAAGCAAGGGCCTGAAACATTTTGTGGACCACCAAATACTCCAGAGTCAAGGGGTCGGTGGGTTCGTCATCTTCGAAAAGGCCTACCATACTAGACTCCACCGACAGAAAGCCCTGCTGAAAGCCCCGGGACACCAAACCCGCTAACTGGCCCCACTTGTCTGTCTTTTCATGCTGAGTTGTCGTGTTCCAGGCTGCGATAGCTGAATCCAAAGGCTCCCTGGCCTTGAGAGGCCGGGCCGTCCTGTTGCGACGTCGTCGGGTTCTTCTGCTGCGACAAGACGACTGGGTACCTGTGGGTCGAGATCCACCTCCTGAGACGAGGGGAGTAAAAGTGCTGGGGGTTTCATACAACTGCATGTCGCACAAAGCCTCCAGAGGAAAATACCTCGGCCCCGTCACCAAGGGATGGTGGACCACCTCATATTGGCATAGCGCTGCTAAAGAAATTGGGACTGGTGAGGGATCCTTGGTTGGTACACATTCCGCTCCAAGCGAAACCTGCCCCAATCCTGAATCCCACTCCTTCTGGAGGGGCAGACCCTGACACATGCCACACAGAACCGCGTGTCTAGATGACCGGGTGTATCTTGGAAGCTTCACCAGGCAACTCTGACACTCAGGCACCACGGCACATTCATGGGAAGCCCATCCTCGGCACAGCCGACACAAAACTGCAAGCGCGAGACCATCCCCTACCTGGAAAAGGGTGTGGCACGGGTCCTCCCCGGCCTGACACCTGCAGACCTCACAACAGCTAAGGCTGAAGACATCTGCTTGGGAAGGGGATTGGCAAAACGTCTCGGGCAAGGTGACAAAATTTTGGCCACGGGGAAAAACACGGGTTGTCGGGGAGAGGGACGACTCTGACAAGTGCGGGGGAAACAGGTTATTTCTGGAATCCAAAACCCCCACCGCCCTACAAGCCCCGAACCCAGCTCCCTAACCCGTCTGCGATGCCTGACCCGGGGCCTGGCCCCCCTGGCGGGGTTCGACTTCGGCCTCGTGCTGCGAGGTCAGGCATTGTCGAAGCCTGCGAGGGTGGCAGACCCGGGGGAAGGCCTGGATCGACCTGCATGCATCTGCGCTTGGCTTCATCGGACTTAAGAGCTTCCAGCTTTCTCTTTTGCTCCTCGGTAAGGCTGGCCTCTTGCATGCCCAAAGCCTGCAGAACAGATTCCACTCCATTGTTGACCTCTTCCGCGCAATGCTTGACCACCTTGTCTTCATATTCCTTGGTGGTCTTTGCGACTTCCACCTTTGCCTCCTCGATGGCATTCTGGATGTCCTGCATCTTGTGAAGCATTGCTCGCAAATTGTCCTTTGCTGTGTCGATCTCCTCCTGCAGCCTCAGTTTCCTCTGGCCCAAATCACGGAGCTTGCCCACCGAGCTGCGAAGAACATCCCCAGCCTCCTTGCCCTCCTGGCGAGGGTCCGGGGTTGGGGTGGCCGGCAGGGCGTCCACGATGACCTGGGGAAGGTCTCCGACATGCTGCTGCAGGAGAGCAACAAGATCCACATCCACTGCGCGAGCCGGCTTGGCTTCAAACCCTGCTTCTTTCAGCTGCACACAGGCCTCTTCAGGAAGAGTATCCCATACCTTCCGCAAGCAGTCGTGAACCTTGTTGGTCTTAGGCTTGCGAGGTCGGGGCTTCGGCTCCGGCTTGGACCAGATCTTGGGGGTGGGCACATCCGTTGGCCACTTAGTTCCGCACCACTGACACTTGGGGAACTTGGGCACCTTTGCCGCAAAGATCCAGCTGGCCGGGCCGCACTTCTTGCAAACGTGATAACGTCCACCAGCCATGGTGACTGTGAAGAGGCCCCGAGCCCTAAAGGCTGGGCTCAGATGTTGGACTTGTTGAGGTCGGCACACCACCTCTGCCGGCGAGCCTCCGACAAAAGTTTCCCGGCGTTGGCAATCCAATCGTTCCGGGTCTTGGACCAGCGAGCCAAGCACGGAGTTGGTTTGTTACCCTCTGCCCCGGTGTGAGGTCCCGGGCACTGGGCTGTTCCTCAAACTCGGCTTGCAGATAGGACCTGATCGAGTCCTCCAAGGGCACCCTCTCGGCTACCCCAAAGCGCTGCACCTCAGGGGTGCGGGATCGCTCTCTTCCCGCCGTGGGTTTGGAGGACCGCAGCCCTAAGGCCGGGAGAAAACAGGCCCGAGCCCTGAGGCTGGGTGAGTGCAGTGCAGCCGCAGCCCTGAGGCTGGGTGAGTGCAATGCAGCCACAGCCCAGAGGCCGGGCGGGTGCTCAGGCACAGTATGGCTCAAGCGAATAGGCCGAAAACAAAGGGGGCCTGGTACCTTAACCCAGTTGAGGCCCAGAACCCAGGTTCACAGCTACTCGCTCAGCTACTTCGCCTACCCCACCGGGGTTTGAGCAGAAACTTGAGCCAGGTGAATTTTACGTCTGCACGCTGCTTGGCGTAGCCACCCGAAGGGGCTGGGGTATCAGGGTGAAACTTACAAACTCTGCACAGTGAGACTACCGGTACTAGCCCTCACTTCCCTCAGACATTTGTCGAGGCCGAAATCCATTCCCTCAGACCGTGGTCGAGGCCGAAATTCCCTCAGGTCATGCCGAGGCCGAATTGCCCTCACTTGCACCCCTCAGACCGGAGTCGAGGCCGAAACTCCCTCAGGCAGCACGCCGAGGCGGTATTCCTTGATTCGGTTTAGGTGCCTCTCAGACCACTAGCCATGTTTCTTGTCTGGGCTGCGCTGCTCACTCATCAGCTTCGTCATACGGCATGCCCAACGTGATTTTCTGGATCTCTGTTGCCGGGACCGGAAGTAGGGTTCCATCCCATCCTCGTTTTGCAATCCCGGCATCCAGTAGGTGCTGGGCAAAAGGCCCGACATTGCCTACGCACGCCATCCAAAGCGCGCTGGCTTTGCCGTCGTACGTTCTGACCAATCCACGCATGGTTGCCAGTAGCTCCTCGTCATATTTCTCCAGGAGGCGTACAGCTCTGCCCTGCGGATGATACTTCCATAGAAGTAGTGGTGGTAGTAACCCTCCACCGCCTCGTCGAAAAGGACTCCAATCCATCCTGCCCACAGGGTCCTGGTGACCAGGGTGGGGAATTGTTCCCCGTACCCTGCTTCGTTGCCAAAGCTCTGGGGTTCCATCGCTAGTTTCATGACCCATAGCCGATCCAGAGCATATCCTCGTCGAGTGCGCCCCGCACCTGTAAAGGGAAGCACCCTAGGCTGTAAGCTTTGCCCTGTCGTTGGGTTGCGGACCAATTGGACCTCCCCAAGCCAGTGGAGCGCTGTCCTTGGCCTCTGCTGGTTCTGCAGCTTATGCACCAAAAGGTGCACAGGCTTGACTTGCCCCATTGCTTCCTTTTGCTCCTGTCCCTCAGCTTCGTGCGAGGCCATATTGTGGGCACCTGGTCCTTCCGCCAGCGTGACTGTGCGAGGCTGGTTTGCCTCTTGCTCTTCATTGACACCCTCAGCTTGGTGCGAGGCCGCACTGTCTTCTCCTCTCTCCCGTAGGCGTACCGGACCCACCGGAGATTCCGAAGCACTCTCCTCATCCCTATCCCAAGTCTGCTCCGGGTGTCTGGCCTGTCGAAGCGGGGAACGGTCTCGGGGCTGATCCTGCTGCTTGTTCTTGCTTTTACCCTTGCCTTTGTCCGGCCGATTCCTTAGCCAGGATGGCAGTCGGGACCCTTGTCTCCTCATCGTCGCATCCGTCTTCCATTGCCTCATTGCTACAGACCCGCCTTGTGCAATTTAGAAGCCCACAGTTGCTTCCGCTCTTCACTGAGGTAGGTCTCCGCTTGGTAGACCCAATCGTTCCTTGTGCGGCAGCGAGCGAGACTGCGACACGCCGCTTGTAGGTGAGTGTAGTTTGCCCTCCTGGGGTCTGTTTCCAGGAACTGCTCCTCCAAAATTGGTTTCCACGAATCCTCAAGTTTGATTCGCACCTGGAGGGTCAATTTCTCCGGCTGCTCGTCCTCCGGCCGGTCTTGTGAGGATGAGGACGCCGTTGTTCCACCCTCAGCTCTGCGAGGCCGAGGCCTCCTCTCTTTACCCTCAGCGATGTCGCAAGCACGCGGCACCGCGAGGCCGAATTACACTCCCTCAGCAAGGCGAGGCCGTAACACCAATCGCTATTCCCCGTTGCGAGGCCCTCACCCTCAGCTACGAGGCCGAAAACCCTGTCTCCTTGCACCAAACGGCTACGGAATTACTGCGTTCCCTCAGCTTGGCGAGGCCTAACAAACAATGACATCTTCTGCTGTGCACTGGCTAGGGGCTTAGCTTTGGCGTGTTCCCACCAAACTGAACGCGAGGCTGTTGAAACTGGACGTTGCTCATACTTCCACCATTGACAAGGGTTTGCGCTTGGGTTGCCAGCTTGCCCTGAGAAGTCCGCGATTTGCACTCACCCGCCAGGCTTTTATTGCACTTCTGGCTGACCGGTGCATGTGTTCTGTCACACTTTGTGCAAACCCATCGGATTCCCAAATTCACCATATTATGGGAGGGGTGGATACCCCACTCTTCCCGCACTCGCGCCTCCGGCTGGTTGACGCAGTACTGCTCCAATACCACCTCCAAGTTCGTGAGGGTTTGTTGTACATACAACCCGCACAGTTGGCATTTCAGTGTTAAATTCCGGGGGTGTTCACTTCCCTTCTCCCATTGGTGCCCACGCTCCGGGTTTTCGAGCAAATGCCAAAGCCGCTGGCGTTTGTTGAGTTTGGCCCTGCCATGCTCTTTTTTGCATCCCTCAGCTTTCTGCGAGGCTTCCATCTTCTCCTTGTAATGCGCATGGTCCAGGATGAAGGGGAAATCTGCTTCGTTGCGCTTCCGCAATATGTGGGCTGCGCGTTCTCCGTAAGCCAGTGAAAGTGTACGCACCACATTGTCCAGCTCTTTGACACGTCTCTTGTGCGCTGGGCTGTAAGCAGCCGCCGCTACTTCGCCACATACTTTGTCCGCCATGTCGTTCGCTGCACGTCTCCACAACGTGCCCGGGCCCATTTTTGCCAGGAATGCTTCTTCTGTTTTGTGGGACGGGACCCATGTTGCTTTGATTCGTTTCTTTCCATTCCACACTTTGCTCCATTCCAGGTCATCGTCCGGCGGTTGTATTTTTTGTAGCGCTTGGACTGCCGGCTTGCAGTCCATTGTGACGTCAATCAGATCCTCCGTGTGCTCCATTAGTCTGAAAAGTGCACGGCGCTCCATGTCCACTACCGGCTGCCACGGGTAGACCAGCTCCGTAATTTGTCCGACTTTCACCAACTCACCATCTTTCCAGGTCATAGCCACCAGGTGAATTTTACGTCTGCACGCTGCGAGGCGTAGCCACCCGAAGGGGCTGTGGGTTCAAGTGAAACAAAAGCTTACTAAAACTGTGGGGTGAAACTGCCGGTAAGTTCCCCCTCTCATTCCTTGTCCTCGGTTTTGACGTACCGCTACCCTCAACCGAAGTGAGGCCGGAATGTCGTTTTGACCAAGTCGTTGCCATTGGCTTGAAGACTTTGGCCAAGGCAAATTGCCTGTATGCTTGCACATTCTCTGTGTTGTCTATTCGGGAGGTGATCCATGCCCTCGTTCGTGGAGGCCGCTATCCCTCAACCGAATGGAGGTCAATTCCTGTAGACCCAGATGCTCGTTCTACGAGTCTCATTGCATGTCCTGAGTGCTTCCATCCACACCCCTCAACCGTAGTGAGGCCGGACATGTCTTCACACCAGGTCATGGCCCGAGGCTTCATGGACTCTGGTTACGGTGGCTGCCTCTTGCATGCACAGGGCATACTTCCTGTGGCTTTTGCCGGGAGGTGATCCATGCCCTCCGATTCTCAGAGGCCGCTATCCCTCTACCAGCGGGGTGGTCAATCCCCATAGACCGTTCCATATTGATTGAGGCCCAATTCTGCACTTTCTCGTCATCTCACCTTGACGGATCCATGCCCTCGATTCACACATCTCCAACACGAGCCAAGCAGGAGGAACAGGTGAAGTACCTGCCCAAACATACCCCTTTTTAGGCTGGAGGACGCTAAGCGACCGAAATCGCCGCTACGCACCGGTGACCCCACGCCACACACCTTCAACAGGTGGCCGGTACAGGCGCCTGACAGGGGGCCGGGCAAGGTGCCGACTACCAGGTCAAACCCACCCTGCCTGTGAGGATATTATGTACGAGGCCGCTATCCATTGTGAGACTTGACATTCTCCAATCCAGCCGTAGCCATTGTTCCAAAGACAGTCGGCTGGCTCTCTTGTTTGCCACCAAAACTCCATACTCTCACTTGGGAGTCGATTACCCTCAACCGAAGTGAGGCCCACTCTGCGACCACGGGTTAGCTGCATGCTTGGTCCTTGTGGGCATTTCTGAAAGCAGTGACAACGAATCCTCCACGGAGTACGTCCCGGCTAATCCAGGGTTCTCAGCAGCTCCGGTGTTCTCGCACTTACTAACCGTGCCTTGCTGTTCTCCCCAGAATCGCCCTGGCTTTCTCGCACTTACTTACCAGTCGACGTATTCCTCACCACAAAGTTCACTGCCATTGGGACTCGAGGCTTCTCCAGTGCAATGCTGGTACCTGCCCTTTGCTGGCCTCCATGCCTGGCCAGTGTCCCTCATCCATATTCTGGAGTTTGCTCTTTATAGCTCACATTCCCTCAGACCAAAGTCGAGGCCGAATGTTGCATTGTTTGATTGAGCACTGCTGGGCTGCGGTTGTACCTATCAATTGCTCCGACACACCGGCACCGCGGAGTCTATGCTTCAAGCTGCTTTACCGCTTTGCGCCCAGTAGCATCAGCCGTCCAAGCTGCATGCAGTGCTTCCAGAGTCTCCCAGACTCAATTCCGGCAGACCAATAAGTGCCCGGCCTGCCCATTCCATCATTCTTCCCTCAGCTGATGCGAGGCCGGAACATCATGCACCTTCTTCATCAGCGAGGCGTTTTCGCAACCCTTCTGTTGTTCCCTCAGCCTTGGCGAGGCCGAACCATCCATTCCCTCAGCCGAGGCGAGGCCGAACCTTTACTCCAGCATAGCGAGGCCGAAACTGCCCTTGCATAGCCTCACATGGCATCTCCGCTGGTTTCACGGGTTCTGAAAGCATTGTGCTGCGAGGGTATGTTGATCACCCTCATTCCGGCAAGCTAAGCCTGCATTCGGGTTTGCCCTCACATGGCCCTTAATGGCGAGGCTGTGCTCGCAATTCAATCCACTTCCACTTGCCTGGTTACTGGCCGGCGACGTTTCATCACCTCAAAGGAGCATCCATTCCTCATCATCTTCCGACAAGGCCAGCATCCTTCTCGACACATCAGGGCCATACACCATAATCACCAGCCTACCCAGGTACCTGATTTCACGTCCGCTGCCATCAATCATCAGGGATGGGTTTGTGGGATCGACATAGAAATCGATGTTCCAAAGCCTCGCATCCTCACAGCATCGGAAATCCCGGAGCTGCAGGTGGAGGTTAGCTGCATTCAGGCTTCTTTGGACATTCCAATTCCCACAGCTGCCCCAGGCTATGTTGCCTCTCCTGGTGCGACGGACAAAGTGGATACGATATGACTGCGACAGTTCCAGGAAAAGCCCTTCACGACGCCCCTGGTGTGACCATGCAAATACACAGCACGCAATTGCCGGCATGGTCCGTCGCTCTCCGTCTGCCTTGCAGCAAGTCTCTTTGGCGTGTGGCACACTGTCCAGGGCACTGTGGACGGCCACTCTGGTCGCCGATAGCCCACGAGCGGAAATCTGCGGTTGAGACGGGGCCCTGTTCCAACAAAGGAAGTTCGTGCTCCACTCAAGCTTACCTTTAAGCCAACAAAGAACAAAGACACATGAGCCTACACTTGGTGTGGTTCAGAGAGCGCAACGCTTACAGTAACGCACTCACTCGGACATTCCTTTTTTTCACGTGGAAGCGTGGGCAAGCATGCACATGCGGGCCTCATGCCACGCAAGGACAAACCTTCTGCCTTGGAAAGCCTGTGTAGATCTACTTGGCACCTCATGCACAGTTGCAATACGAACCCAGCACTGACTCCCCCGGATGAGGGAAGCCATGCAGGCAGAAGAAGATCCACAGGCGGGATCCGTCAGGCACGGATCGGTCACACCCACTGGGATGGGCGGGCGGGCAAAGAAAATTTTCTGCATCTCTCAGCTGTCAGCCACTGTTACCGGGCATGAAGACTGCATACAAGCTGTCAAGGTGACATGCAGAGAGAACATGAAAGATGGGCATGCAGAAAATTTTGAAAGCACTGTGAAAACTCTTTTTGTTTTTCTTAAAGGCACGGTTGCAGGCAACCTAAGCGTTCGCTCCTCACGAAGGCGCTATCAACAAGTTGACAGCAAGCTTCGTGCTCCACTCAAGCTTACCTTTAAGCCAACAAAGAACAAAGACACATGAGCCTACACTTGGTGTGGTTCAGAGAGCGCAACGCTTACAGTAACGCACTCACTCGGACATTCCTTTTTTTCACGTGGAAGCGTGGGCAAGCATGCACATGCGGGCCTCATGCCACGCAAGGACAAACCTTCTGCCTTGGAAAGCCTGTGTAGATCTACTTGGCACCTCATGCACAGTTGCAATACGAACCCAGCACTGACTCCCCACATTATCCGACTTTCACCTTTTTACCTTTTTCCTTAAGAAATTTTCGAAAACAGCCTTAAGGGTTTGACGGACGTCAACTGCACCAACCAAAGTGTTGCCAT